TCTCGTCTGCGGAATAAAGCTCTCCTCTTCTACGGTGATGTCCATCGCTAGGCAAGGGGTTGGAGGATAGATGCCATGGCATGGATAGTAAGACATAGACAGATGTTTCCCTACATCTCCTTGTGTCCCTCCCTCAGGCTTTGTAAGAGATCTACATTCTTCCAGAGCACTCAAAAATCACATTCTGGAGAAAGCTCTGTAAAGTTCTATGTAGAAACTTCTGATGCTCTCAAGGGGCAAATTTATACCAGTTAGCCTCCCGTCTGTCTTTTCTTGATGGTTTATAACTGCAGAAGCGAGAGTATGTTGTGGCTTATCAATACTTTTTTGTTTTTCTAATATCACATATCCTTTTTTTCAAAAAAGTATGAAAAATATACTTTTTTTAATACTGCTATTTTTTCCCTGGGCGTCTTTTAGCTAACAGAAAACTTACTTTGTTTCTGTTAATTGAGTGGATGTCTGGCTTTTGCTCGTGTTTCAGTCTCGGCTTCAATTTTTATATTAAGAGCCAACCACCCTCTATAATAAAGTGAGGGAGGTGATTAATGTTAATAATAATAGCATTAATAACATCTTTGTAGTCTTCATCGATTTCCTAACTGAAAGTAATTAAGATGCTGTGGTTATATAAATGATTAATAATGAAATAGTTAATTTTGCATCTTCGTCCAATAACATTTCCACCACGTGGAAGGAAACTACTGTTTTGGCTAGCCTGACGTTGGATTGCCTGCAATGTAAGTGTTAGAGTACAAGAAATATAAGAAGGGCAAGAAACGAGACAAATAAATAACATAATGGTTATTTTCATTTGTCTTTAAGGAAATCTTACAAACCATGTAAATGTTTAATATTTTTATGAAAACACATGTTTTACATTGCCTGTAAAAACACATCTTTAAAATGAATGAACGCAACTTGTTTGCATTAGAAAACTTGATTTTAATTAAGCTCCTTCTGTACTTTCTAACAATACCAGTGACAAATTATAATAATGCTGCATGACCCATAACTCATACATCTGAGAAACACTGCCTGTCCTAATGGAAACTTAATAAAATCTTGTTCCTTTACCGTAAGTTGCACAGCATGTTGGATGAACAATGTTGTGTGCTCGTCTCTAGAGAATTCGGTGTAAAATAGTTCCAGATTTTGTTTAGTGATCTCAGAGCTGGCTGAATAACTCCAGCTTTCCAAAACTGCAAAAGCTGACATGCAGGGTGGTGAGACTTTAGGATATTAACTGCCTGTTCTGTGATACTGGAGGAGATTAGTTTTTGGAATCCATTCATTGAAATAAAGCGTGAGGCTGAATGGAGGTTATATTTATTGTCTCTGAAAACCCTGAGTTAGCTCAAATCACTTCAAGCCTATACATGCACACATGTATTCTCCCACATTTAGCAAAATCCTCAACTTTTCTAGCTAGTTTCTTTGAGGCAGGAGTAGATAACTTGCAAGGACTTGGCTTGAAAAGATGCGTGCCTGTAACACCCTCTGTCACATTTCACAAGAGACTACAATCAAGCAGCCTTTATACTTGGATTGTCTAGACACTGTAACAAAGTGGAAAAGGGCAAGGGAAGGGAAAAAGCCCTCTTTGTCAGTCATTCACTGTGCATCAGACCCTCCTTCCCTCTACATTGCCTGTGCCAACAAAAAGATAATGGGAGCAAAAAGCAAACTGCAAATAAGAAATTGAGTGGTTCTCGATTCACATCCTCCCTTTTTAAAAAGAAAACCCCAAACCAGTATTTTTCTGACACTGCCAATACATATGTGTGCCATCTCCTGATTTGTTCACTTTTTTCAGAATTAATACTTTGAATGATTTTTTTTTGGCAGGTGGTCTGTAGTTCTAACTTTTTCCTCATCAATTTGCTTGAATGTGTAAATGAAGTGTGTAGGACTGGCTTGTCAGCGCTGGTAACTAGATATCTGAAATCTTCCCAGACACCAGAGGAGAGTTTTTTCCTCTAAACAGCTGAAAGTTTGTGAATAAGCAGTAGGGCTACTTGAAAAATAATTCTCTCATATATTTGTTTCATGTCTGGAGAAGCAGCAGCAACAAGAAAAAAGCCTCTTTCATCATCATCCCCCCGCACAATTTCATATTCCCCTTCTCTTCTTTCGTTTTTTTTCTCCTTCCTTTGGTTCTCTACTTTTTTCCAGTGAAAACACAGGGGAAAAACTAAGAGAAGGAACAGAGCTGGGTAGGGGGAAGGAGGCGAAAGAATTTCACAAGGAGGTACGGTTTCAAGCCAACAAAAAGGCTGCTGTGATTCTTCTTTAAATAACAGAGCCTGCGCGTCACTCAGCTGTTTTGAAGTCCATGCATTTATGTTCCAGCACTTACAACTTTTAGTCGTTCTTCTTTAGTGGCTCAGTAACCTCCGTTCAAATCGTCTGCACCTCTGCGCTTCTTTTCGATCTGGAGTTCCCCTCGTGCCATGGCCTGGCGCAGCGTTTGCCTAGCTGCCTGTGTTTGGCTGCCCAGACCAGAGGCGCGGTGGCTCCCCGAGCAAGGCCCTGGCACGGCCGCTGCCCTGAGGCGCCGCGTGGGACTCCCAGGGTGCTCTCCGCGCTTGGAGGAGCGAGACGAGACTTCACGCCGCAGTGGCCTTGCTGTCCATGTCGCTCTGCTTCATTCCCTGGCGTTGCCAGTATGAGTCCTTGGCTCGGAAAGGAGCCTGGGAAGACTTGACCTTAAGCTAAATCACTAAAGAGAGGGTCTCTAGGGCCAGACCACTCTGCTTTTCGAAAAGAAGCAGCACAGAGCTCTGCATGACCGGTTTTTCACTGCTAATTTAAACTGGGCACCTCTGTGCCCGGCATGGTCCCTGGCGGGCTCTCCCAGAGCCACTGCCGGGCCGGCGCCAGGGCCGGGTGGCCTTGAGTGCCCATGCGGGACCCCGCGGCAGCGGCCCGGGGCAGCACCACCACCACGGCAGCCCCCTTGCCAGCCACAGCCCTTTGTGCTCCCCAGGCTGCTGACGGCTGCAAACCTCCTTTCCCTCAGCCCTTTCTGCACTTCTGTTTCTGCAGAGACACGAGCTCGCACCGCCTGTGCTGGTGAACGCTTCCCGTTGGCCTTAAGAGATTTCCCAGGTTTTTGCGAGGGGACTCCGCTGAGCGAACGTGTTGTCTCGAAGGAAATAAATGGGAAAAGGGCACCTCTGAGCTCAGAGGAGGAAATGGGAGAACGTGCGCTGACTGCAGACAGTGCTGGTCAAGGCAGGACAGCTCAGGAAAGCTTATTCAAGTGGTGTTTGTTTTTCTGAACATGGCAGTAGAATAACTGACAGTGTCTTCAAGTTGTGGAAAATGCCCTTCAGCAGAAGGGTTTTCATAATTAGGCAGGCTAGATTTAAGAAGCTGGTATCTGTATTATGAACCATCACCGACAAACAGCTACTGCATAATTTTTGGGACATTAGCAGCAGTGGAGTATGCTTCTTCAGAATCCCTTGAGTTTGTCAAAGCCAGTTTCCTGTGTTGATGTTGGGGTAAGGCATACAAAATAGCCAGCCTGGCAGCTACCGAAGAATGAGGATATTTGCAAAAGGATGTGCTTTTTATTTACCTTAAGTGGAGGATATTGGCTGAAATGTGAAAAGAAATATGACAAAAATAGTTGTGTGCCTCACTATACTTTTTTTTTCTGTCCTGGGTCTCACTTTCTCCCCTGCTGTTTATGTAGTCCGGACAAAGTACGGTAGGCTGAGGTTAAGAAAGTTTGTCTCAGTGATTCTTTTCCTTCTTCTTTTTCTCTTTTTTTTTTTTTTTTTAATTTTTCTGTTATCACTGCTCTTTCTTGTAGCCCCGTGCCTGGAGTGTATTGTTTCTGTTCCAAGTTACATATAAGATTCACCATGCTGGGTCAAGAGTCCATCCAGAGCAATATCCAGTTCCCAAGACTGATCACGCCTGACTTTAGAAACTTATATTTGTGTCTAGGTTCAGCTAGAGCCCATGGAGAGTTTGGCTGGTAACGCATGAGGACTAAGATATTAGAGCTCACTGATGAAAACTCATACTAGATAACAGCATGGACCTCTGAGGGCTTTTTTTTGAGATGTGGTGAATCACCCTCTGTCTCGCTCCACCTGTTGAGAATATAGGCTCTTAACTTTTATGTACCTAAAATTAAAAGAGATTAATCCAGGTCCTAGTAGTGGCCAATGAGAATGCTGAACAAGAGATTATAAAAATTAGAAATCTTAGGGCTAACTTTTCCAGAATGTACCCTCTCAGTTTCCTTTTATCAGCGATCTGGATCTTAAGGCTGCCTGCATTTAACACGTTAACTCTTCCATGGCTTTGTCTAGTTTCTTAACTCATTTATCCTTTTGGCTACCCCAGCCTCCAGTATCAGCAGGTTTTATACTTCAGTTAGGTGTTGCATAAAACAGCACTTCCTTGTGTTTTAAATGCTCTCTCTGATGAGCTGCCTCCTACTTTCCTGTGTAGTGATAATTATCTGCTCTGCTGTATCTGCATCTCTGTCTGTCGCGTAGGGCTCCGGGAAGGTATTACCTTTACATGAAATCAATGGCAGCTATTGTATAGTTGGCAATGGCAAAAATGAGACCGTGAGTTAAGTGCCTTGCTATGTATTTCGAAGCCAGACTTGAATACTTCTAGTTGTGCTTTCTGGCTGTGATCTTCCCCTGTGAGCTGCGCTCTCCTGGCAAAGGGTGAGTGAGAGAAGTTTCTTCCTCTTACTGCCTCCATGCAAGAAATTTTCTGGCAGGGCTGGTCAGACAGCTGCTACTACAGTCAGAGCAGGTAGGATCTCCTTCCCAGACCCTGATAGGAAACCACTGTGGGGAAGAATTTTGTGTGAGCTTTCCCAGCATGTTGCTGTTCATCTTCAAAAGCAGAGATTTTTTTTTAAAATACTTGTCTTTCAGGCCACTTTATCCTCATCTTATGTGGGTTAGAGAGAGATCTGGTGAGCATAAACGAGTGAACACCTGCTTTCCTTGCTCTCCTAGGATTTTAGATAATGGGCTGTGTGCAATGTAAGGATAAAGAAGCAACAAAACTGACTGACGAGAGGGATGGCAGTTTAACTCAAAGTTCAGGCTACCGCTATGGGACAGATCCCACTCCACAGCATTATCCTAGCTTTGGCGTGACTTCAATTCCAAACTACAACAACTTCCATGCCACAGGAGGCCAAGGGTTGACAGTGTTTGGTGGAGTCAATTCCTCCTCTCATACGGGAACGCTGCGAACAAGAGGAGGGACAGGTGAGCTTCAAAGCCTTATTTCGGTGCACTTAATCAGTCACATTACATCAGGGCTGTTTGAGGAGACACAACCGTCTCAGCATGTTGTTTAAGATAGTTCATTATTAAATAGCACAGAGTTGAAGTTGGGGTGAAGCCGTATCTTCAGCCCTATCATTGCTAACCTACAGATGCTAGTTCGCTTTGGGGATATGCCCCAAATTGGCTGCCTGCCTGCCTCATCCCTCGACCAGGGAATGAAAGAGGCAGGTGGTCGAAGCAGGGAACCATCTAGAGTAGTTCACAAGAAACACTGGGCATGGGTATGTCTAAACTCCATCTTCTCTGAACGTTAGACACACTTTACGCACATGGGATCCTTCTCTTCTGTGTGAGTACCAAACCAAAAGGACTGATGGTTTTAGAAACTGAAGGACATAGCGTGCCCACTCTCTGCTGAAAAGCACAGTGATTAGAAGGGTTGTCCAAAAAGTGCAGTTTTCAGTTCAGTTTACTCCTCAGATGCTGGGGTAGCTTAAGTTTAGCTTAGCCACCTGATCTCTTGAGGTTCCTTTCACTTCTCTTTTCTGTGATGGAGTGTAATTCATATTTGTTCTTCTTTAGGTGTAACTCTTTTTGTGGCGCTTTATGACTATGAAGCAAGAACAGAAGATGACTTAAGTTTTCACAAAGGAGAAAAATTTCAAATACTTAACAGCTCGTAAGTTTTAAGCTTGGAAATAGGCTTTTTAGTATTTTTAAGTTTATAATGTTGATAAATGTTTGTCTGTTTATGTTATTTGTAAAATATGATGTGGGCTATTCAAGATATGTAGGAGTTTAAGTCTTTATGCTCGCTTGTCTTTGTCTTTTAAGTGTTTTATAAAAAAAAAAAATCAGCCAAAATGCAGTTTTAATTCAAAAATATGTAAGTGTTAGATGGTGTGGTTCGCTGCTTACATTTCACAGTAGACTCGCATTCGGAACTGAGAGCACAAGCTCTGTACTTTACTGGTAGGAGCAGAAGTTCTGCAAGGCTTTTACCACAGTCTTTGCAATCTGCTGCAAGTATCTCTGCACAGGAGCGAACTAAGAAAATCTGATTCACAGGAAGAAATGTGATCCAGACTTGCATGTCAACATGGCTTTAAAAGCATTAATGTGTTTTTCATTCAAAGAGAGGGGATACAGTCTGAACTTACTAGGAAGTTTCATCCTGGAAATCATTGACTTAAAATTAATTTTGTCAACTGCCCATAGAAAAAGTCAGTTAGCAATTTAAAAATAGCATCTAAATATTACTGTGCTACTGACCTGAATCAGAACATCTTGTAATTCCTGGCTGAGAACATAAAGTTGAAGGCTCTGTCATGTGATAGTATTGCTATCATATAGAAGTAAAAATGGGTTAACAACCAAGTATGTAGCTTTCTAGAGGCTTTGTGATCTCTCTCCAATTTTTGTTTATTATACTACATGACAATGAGTCAAATTCATCCCTGGTGCAATTCCTGTTAATTTTAATAGAGGAACTCCAGGGCTGGAGTTGGCTCAGGGTGCATTAACTTAAAAAAAGCCAGGTAATTCTGTGGAATGTTTCATGAAGCCATGAAGCTGAAGAGCTTTGATGTAGATGAAAGCACAAAAACTTCAGTTAAGACTTGTAAAGAGAGCAGCAGCTTAAAAACCTCTCTACTTCTAAATTAGCACTTGGGGGGAAAAAAGACTTTTTTTTTAAAGCTATTATCCATTTTTTTCACATTGCCTACCACTTTCCTAACCTCTCACAAACTCTATCATCACCTGAAACAAGTACAAATTCTACTCATTGCAAGTTCCTTACTTGTTGCAATTGGTGAAGTCTGGGGCTGCTCACAAGGACTTGCGAAGCAGTGGTATTTGGAGTCAGTGGGAAAGAGGTATTGCCCCCATTTGTGGCTGGCTGCAGTACATGTATTTTGATGCAGGTAGTTACTGCTGGGAGGATGGCTTTCTAAGAGAAAAAAGCAGCCACTGATTTTCCTGTAGGATTACAGAAGCTCAGTTGCCATCATAGTCACCTCTCTCCACTTAGAAACACTAGGCCTAACCACGCTCCTGGAGTATTGACAGCCAGGCTGGGATTGCCCCAAAGCAGCTTTTCTGTGAGAATGCTTCATCTTTTCCCTTATATCAGAAAGGACGTGGAAGTACCCTTTTTAATAGTCAATGCTGCTTGTGATGAAGAAGCATTCAGGTGCCTAAGACCAGTTTGTCTGGAATTTACTGAAGGTAAAATTTTTTTTGACTCCAAGAAATGAAATTTGATTTCTGCTTTGGACTGCAAGTTCAAATTGGCAGTACCTGAAATGGCTTACGGAGGGTATCCCTGTGATTTGAAGTCAGAAACGATACCAGGTGCAGTCTGGGGAAAAGAAGTGCCTGCAGATGGCGATTCAGGGCAGAGTCCTCACTCAGGTGCTCTAAAATACCCATGGTTCCCATCACCACCACCACTTCAGCATGTCTGGCTAGCTTTACTGTCCGGCCTCCTCCTAACGCAGGCTTGTCAGTTGGGTGCCTGTAATTAAGTGTTGTGGAAAAAAATCTATGTTCCCCTTTCTTTCTGGCAGAGAGGTTTAGGCTTCTCTGTCAAAACAGAGGGGTTGCTCCTGATGTTGTTACGAGCTACAGCACTTTTTTCTCTCCTTAGATACGATAATATATCTCCATCTAGTGGAGTGTCTGTGCGGTAAGAGAGCAGAAGTAGGAACTAGTGATAGTGGCCCGGTTCTAGCAGCTGATAATAACAGTCATAAAGGAATTGAAATATTTATCAACAGTAGTGTGGCATAATCTCACAGAAATATTCTACACCTATATACCGAGGAAATATTAGCCCTTCAGCTGGCTAAAGTTAGGGTCATAAACCCTAAAGCACCCTAAACTCCGATGGCCTATTTGTCTTGAGATGCTAGTACACACAGCCTGTGTTAAGATAGCGTTGGCTCCCAGCATCTAGAAAAGCTAGTTGTTGTTCACCTTCTGAGCTGTGGAATTGAAAACAGCTCTTTTTTGACTAACTACAGCAGTTTTCTAGTTATTTTCCTTAAGAGTTCATATTCTTTCAAGCTACTAACAAAAGCGGAGTTAGAAATGTTAATAAGAGCTCACCTTCACGCAAGCTTTTCTGCCTGTTTAAAATGGCTTAGACAATGTGCTTTCAGTAACTTCTTGCTTACTGAAGATGCTGAACTTGCTGGCCATGTTTGATAACAGTGGTTCATTTAGTAAACAAATTGCTGTATTACAGAGAGGGAAACTGAGTTTCTAGGCAATCCAGGTAGAAAGGAGAACGTTGTTAGTGAAGGTGGGAGTTAAATGTCAATGAATCTGGTTCTGGGAACTAAATGTAAACTACTAAATCCCTAATCACTGCATCCTATAAAAAGCTGAGCAATAAACTTATTTTAAAGCTATGTATTCTACAGCAATAGGCATTGGCTGAAGAGGAATACCATGTCACACTGCAGATGTGTGCATATGACAGAAGTTGATGTTGAGCGCGTGGAACACTGGAGTAAGATGGTCCGATATGGACTTCTCTATGTCTAAATGTGGTAGAAGAATGTTTTTCGTAATTATTTGAAAATGTATCTAAGTCATTTACTTCTTAAGAGATCTCCTGCGGGTGGCCAGGAGAGGGAATCTAGACAATGAAGTATGAGCCTTAAAGGCTATCTAAAACTATTGACTATTTGATATCTTTGGGTTTCAGATGGAGTATCCACGTAAAAGTTTGAACGTCATGCTAAAATTAGCAGTGGATGTGAAAGTATTGGTTTCGGCACTTTTTTAAACAGATTCTCTCAAGGATCTATAGTAGAATAATTGCTATGGGGACCATTTTCAATATTCTAGTCCAAACTCAGCCCTAACCAGATCTGATTTCAGTGGAAGTTATGCCTGTTTATGCCATTATGCTACATTTGGAAGGCTACGTTACTAATCACTGCTCAACTAATAACAGATGCAAAGAAATACGTGTAGTATTTTGGTTTAGATGCAAGCAGTTCTCTCAGAAGTATGCCCATGATAAAGGGATACTGTGGATTCTTGCAACACACAGTAGCAGTCAGATCATAGCCTTTACAGCTCTCTCTCGCTTTTCTTCACCTCTGTTTCTGCAGGGAAGGAGACTGGTGGGAGGCCCGGTCCTTGACAACAGGCGAAACTGGTTATATTCCCAGCAATTATGTGGCTCCAGTCGATTCCATCCAAGCAGAGGAGTATGTTTTCTTACTATTGTAAAGACCCATTAGTGCTGTACTTGAAGGAGATTTGAGGAGATTGTTTTGATTGATTGCAGTGATTTTTCAGATGACTTGTATCATTTTTATTTCAATTCTCAACTGCACTGATAAATAATTAGGTAATTAGTAACAAAAGAAGCGCAAGCTTGGCGCTTTTTCAATGTCAAAGCAAAGGAAGAAAACCTAAAAGAACGCAGGTCTGCTTACTTTATTTGGGTGTCAGCTAAAGGTGCCCTTGCTTTTCCTGAACCAACTTGTAAAAATATTTACAGTCAATCCGTGTGCAAACTGTCCATTAAACAGGGCACATCATTGTAACAAAAATACCTTTCACACCGTAGGATGGCTACAAAGTGTACGGCAAGCAGTATGATAAGGACATAGCTGTGCAAAACAATGGAGCACTGTGGCTGTGTGTGTGTATCCGTATTATTTCCGGTATCAGAGTTACACTGGGGTAACACTGGAGTTACACTGGGGTAGCTTAGATATCCGAGCAGGTACTGTAAAGCAGCGCTGCAAAGCATGGCTGGTGGGAATCTGTATGTTACTGAACGAGCTCTGTAGGATGCCTTGGATTCTGCTCTGGGGGTACTGTTGTCTGTACTTCAGGCTATGTTTTCTATAGTTCATTGACATTATGCTGATAACTAGGTTATAAGGATTCCAACTGTCATCTGAAGTGGCTCTGATTTGGTTGGTTGTGAAACATCCCCCCCACCCCCACCCCCCCAAAAAAACCCCAAACCCTAATTAATTGCTGGAGGAAGGAAAAAGATACCGAAACTATAAAAGCCTTACAGAACCACGATAAAGTGGTTGCATGTGGTCATTCTACTGAGTTTTTGTACCTGTACTGCAACAAAAATATTGACTACTAATAAATCACTATGTCAATCAAATATGTAGTTTAGAACAACGTCTGTAAAAATACTGCTCTTCAGCAGCAAAGCATTTTTCTCCCTTCTTCCTTGTCTCTTCCTTCACTCCCAAGTCTTGCCCACTGTTTGCTAAAATATGGCTTTTGTGGTATGACACCAAACAAGCATTCTCCACATCTGCCAATTACAGACTTAATACAAGTGCTGGTATACAACATATACAACATCTACTCCACAAATCTGTCATGTTACCTTCCCACCCACAGTAAAATGGCCACAGTATGACAGTAGTGGTTGAATATACTTGAGTAACCGTATTTTCCACAAATAGTCTACCACGTCTGAGCTTTGTGACATTGCCAAGTAATCTTATGTAGCATTTTCTTACTATTTCTGCTGTTTCCCCAAGGTGGTACTTTGGCAAACTGGGCCGAAAAGATGCTGAGAGGCAGCTGTTGTCATTTGGAAACCCGAGAGGTACCTTCCTTATCCGGGAAAGTGAAACTACCAAAGGTATGCTGGCCAAAGCTATTCTAACTAATAATTAGTAGGTATAAGAGAAAAATTATGGTAGGTTTGTAAAATACTGTGTTCAGGGGTACCAAGGTAGAGAAAAGTATCATCTTGCATATGTGTGTGTTAGGGAAATAGATGTCTGGACATCCCAGGTTTCGGAGTGTTCAAGGCAGAAAACAACGCAAGTGCAAGCCGTGCCGCGCTCAGCCCGTGGGATCTGCAGTACAAGTTAGGCACAGGCAGGTGCTCTGCTCTGCTGTCACGCTCAGAGCACTAAACTGTCTGAACAGTGGCGCTGAGGATACTACAATTGCAATGGAGTTGGAGGAGTCAGGCCATTCAGAGCAGCATCTATGGGCTGCAGGAGGCAGGCCTCCTGGTGTCCCTGTTAGGGTCCAGACAGGGCCACCTGGCTTACTGGGAATACATACTGGGAATCTGCAGTTTAATTTGGTGAAAACTGTTTACTTCAGAACAAGCAGAAAGTCTGACTCTTCTTGACTGTAAAATGTAAGATAGACTTGCAGGGAGGGAGATACTGGTTATTGTTTTGGGAAGACGGTAAGGAGAGTTTTCTGGTCTTTTCTCTTCAGGAAGGATCCTTGGAAAAAATTAGCAGTTTTTAATCCATAGAGTAACAGTGAGAAAACTTGAAAATATTTCCAATGAATATGTTCTGGAAATATTTACTTGTATACATTCTGTTGAGGTGAAGTGGAAAGATGTATTGTCCTCCCCTCTAAAAATATTGCAGGAGCTCTATCTTTATTGGTGGGTCCGTCCTTGCTTTTTCATTTTGTTAATGAGACCTATCGGTTTCTTCAAAGCATCATCTTTACAAAAAGATCTCTCTAATTCATATGACCATTGAGGAGAAAACATGCAACTAAATGGAAACAAATCTGACAATTTCTCAACTGACCAGCAATGTGAAACAATAGCTGGGGGAAGCATAAGTCACTAGAATTCATTCCATGGAAATTCTGAAGTCTAATGATGGTCCATATAATTGAAGCACTGACTTTTCAGTGCTTTGATCAGAAAACGCTGTCGGCTAGAGTTGGCATCCAAAGTGGTTGGAGTCCTGGCTGGTAAAAGGACTTAAGGAAGAGAAGCACCACTTTCTCCTCCTGTCCCTATGACATATCTTCAGATGCTGTATTCTGTCATCTAAAATTGTATGGTTTAGAATTTTTGACTCCTGCAGTCACTGAACTGTCCCTTCGTTGTACTTAGTTCAGAAGACTGGTTATCATGCAAAATCGGAATCAACATGCTGCAGTTGCAGATGACTAATTTCCCATCCTGTCACCCTGCAGCTTCTCCATACCTTAGCTAACAGCAAAGCATTTCTCACCAGGAAGAAGATGTGCTCTAACTTGCTCTCTTTTTTTGCAAATAACCTCCACCTGTTCGTTTTGTCCAACTGTTGTTGTTATGCACGTGAGGAGCAGAACTTCATTCCACTCTATACAGAGTTTGAAAAGTCACTAAAACAGGCATGCTTAAAAACATCCACGACACCTTTTCTCTAAACCGTGCTGTGTCACTTGAGTCTATTTGGACCTTTTTTGTGCAGTGATAGGAGAGAGATTTTGCAGGCGGGTTTACTTACCTAAGTCAGGTTTTTTCTAGGGCTTCTTTGGAGAAACAAAAAGCATTGGGGAAATGGAGTAATCCGTCATGGATGTGCTTATAACAGCAAGCTTAATTTCTCTGCTCTTGAAGCTAAGGCTTTCTACATCTTCAGGCTAAGTTGGCATCAAAGCCACTGGAAAAAGAAAAACATGCATGCTTTTTGTCAAAAATGCCCATTTCCTTTCTCATCCTTGTGGTGTCTCTGGAAATACGTTGTTAGAGGAAAACAGAGAAACGTTGTTGATCACGAGAGAGAAAAAAGCCAGCTGAGAGAACTGAATGGTGCATTCTCCTGTAAGTCTCCTCAAAATGCTTTATTCTAGCTAGTCATCCTGGGCTTGAGGTAGGAATTGCTTTGTGACCTAGAATTGTCCCCTTTGCTTTAAATAATAACAGTAATAAAATTAATCAAGCTTATGGTAAATGTATCAAAGTGGACGGCTTCCGCTTGAATTTAACCTCCCTCGATCATGCTTGCCTTCTCCCCGTACTTCGAAAACAAATCAGTCAGATCTGGCTTTTCATTTTTGCAAAGCCTGACTACCCAGGTACTTCATCAGCTCTTGTGTGTATAATCCTTTGCCTGATTTCAATCTCCATCCCCCAGTGCTGTTTGTTTTCAGGTTTTTTTTTTTTTTTAAATTCATTGATACAACGCACTGCTGTGTGGTATTTCTATCCAGCTTTATATTATGTGTATCCCTTATATTTGAATTTATCAGCAGATAATAACGAATAGTCTAAATAACAAACAATCTAAATAAATGAATAATGAAATGGATCTTGGTTGTTTTTGTCCAGACTTGAACTAAATCTGCAGTCCTGCAACTTGGTCTGAGGTCAGTGGGGGTCCACAAGGGGCCACCCACGCAGATCTGATTGCAGAACTGGAGCCAAAGATTGTTTACATTTTCCTAAAGAATCTAAAATACTGATCAGATAGGCAGGGAATGTGACTAAGAAAATACAGCTGTTCTTAGTGCATCAAAACTCACAAATGCAGAGGTGGAGAACTCTGCCTGGAAAATTTTGGAAGCAGGATGACAGTGCACAGCCATCAGTGTTCGTCCAAAACACGTACAAGATTTGCCTGCAAATCCCGATAAAGCTCCTAGCTTAGAGAAATGTACTTACTCAGTGGGAGACTCTCCTCAGAAAAATAACCTAAAAATGTTTTTTCTACACTAATTTTTTTTTTATTTTTTATCTAAAAATAAAAAGCTTTTCACTTCTTTCGGAGTATCTCCCATTCACATAAAATAGAGTCATGCATGTAAGTGCTGGCTCTTTTCCTCCTATTTAGAGGGTAAACAACAGGGAATTTGAGAACTCCTTGGAGTCTAGGGGTGGAGGAGTTTTGTTTGCTGCAGCTCCACTCAGTGGCGAGCTGTTTACCAGTGTGATCTGTTGCATTTTAACATGTTCAGAGAAGTTTTAGAGTGCCATAAAATTCTTGCTGGAGAGAATCCAGTAACAACATTTTATATCAGGAATCTCAGCTGTGTAACTGTGAAGGTAGCTTAAGCCATTTTATTTAGATGGAGGTGCTTCGGGGAGATGTGACTGTCCAGTGTGTCAAAAAATACAGGGGGTTTGGAAAAGCAGCCGTCAGTGGTTTTTGCCATCAGACCCGTAGGAAATTATCCCACCTTCCAGGCAATCCAAAATTATCTGCTGGCAGTTTTCTTTTCCTGTTCTTAGCTGAAGTGGTTGCCAATGAAAGCAGTCCAGTCTCCAGAAGGGGGGCCTTCCTGAGATCTCTGCAGTTGCCCCAAGTATTTTCTTTTAATTTCTGCATTACCTTTGAGTAAACAAAATATCCTTCTGACCGTGAGCAAAGACGTCTTCCCTGCTGCCTTTGAAACAACCAAGCTTTCGCTCAGAAAACTGCATTACGCTGTAAAATGTGGTTTCACCTTTGAAAACGTAGAGAACCAACATGTGGGCGTCACTGTATCTGGAATAGGATTCTGCTTCATATTAAGACACCCGAATGTGCGGCTCCCCATGGAAGCGTCCAAGCTCCCTTTACAGTCAGTGGAGAGGTGGGATTCACTTCAGCTGCCCACAGCTGAAGACACCTAGGGTTCAAACCTAATTCCGCCATCAGTGTGTACAGTACCATTACAGTCAGTAGAAACGAGGCTGGGATTCAGTTGCCTTAACAGCACCAGAAACTTGTGTGTGGGCATCTGCACCAAGCCCGTAGCACATCTACAGAGGGCTACTGCTACACCTAAAACCTAAATCCAGCCCCTAAACTGAATTTCCATTGCCTGAGCATGAGTATTTGGAGCCGCCATTTGAAATGCCTGATGGTATCCAAGGCATTCACATGGTTTGGATAAATTCGACACCTGTGGGAAAACTACTGCCTTGTGAAGAGGCCAGGCAGGATGTCTCACATGATGTCTGACATGGCATCTCGCATGGCTCTGTGTTTGAGCATCTGAATCCCACCAGTAATGTCTAGTGTTTCTCCATGGATTTGGAAAGGGAAATGGGTAGTTCGTGCAAATCTTCTGATGCATGATGTTTGCGTGGTGGGGCTTTCTCCTCCAAAGACTGTGACATGCAGAGTTTGTTAATTTGGTTGTTTAATGCTTGTAAAGCAGTTTGGGATCCATCTGGGTAACAACACTACATAGATGTGAAGTCATTATCTCCACTGGCTCCCATGAAAATCTTGACATTTACCACCCACTGGCATTTACCTAAAGTACAGTATTTGCAGTGTAACCTGACACTTAAGAGTGGGAAAAGTAAATTTAACGACCTGAAGCAGTAAATGTTAAGATGTGAGTTTTCATTTACCCAAAAGACCTGATTTCTTTCTAGAAAAATATGGAAGAGGCATGGCATGAACACCCTCAGATTTCTGTGACACTTGCTTTAATTATGTTGGATTCACTTGTTCTTTCTCAGTGTAGAACAGGCATTTTTTAAAGCAATTTCTCTTTTATTTTATAAAAAATGACTGGCAAGCCAAAATCTTTAGCTATCTGAAAGGTACTTACGATTTTTTTATTCCTCTTTCTCTTGGAATAGGTGCCTACTCCCTGTCCATTCGTGACTGGGATGATATGAAGGGAGATCACGTCAAACATTATAAAATTCGTAAACTTGACAATGGTGGCTATTATATCACAACTCGGGCACAGTTTGAAACTCTTCAGCAGCTGGTTCAGCATTATTCAGGTAACTTTTCAAAAAAATACTGAGCGCTCTTGAGAGCTTTAAAACAAAAATGTTTGCTTCTGTGCTCTCATATGTATAAAATGTCCTGAAGAGTCTTTTGAGCTATATCTCTTGCTTGTTGTAATGCATTATCACTTTCCCATTATAGTTATAAATGGCTTTAAGTGCACAGCAGCATAGCTTTTCAAAGGTAGCAGTCTACTCAGGTAAAGGTTTTGCCTGCTCTGCCTTTTCAAAGAAACCAGAATTACTGAATTTGACTTGCAGATCTGAAAGCATGAATTCCCTGTGTGTAAGCGAGTGCTAATATGTACCCTTTTGCAGCATAATATTGCTAATAAAGCATTTACAGAATTACATTGTGGCATTCAGTCACTTAAGGCAACAGCAGAAATGTTTCCCTATATTACTTGACTCATATTTTCCCATTGAATTTGTGTTCGATGTGCAGAGTATTACCATTTAAATTATCAGCAGTCTCAAGTGGGTATTTTTGTATGCATATTGTTTGTCTCCCACTCACACTCACCTCCATTTTTTTTTAATTCCTGTGATTAATTCCTGTGATTAATTCCTGTGTTACACACTATTCAACCAAAAGTGCTGTCATTGGGAACTGGTATACAGTAACCTAGGAACTGGTATACAGCTTAAAAGCCCCCCAAACCTCTGCACAGGTTCACTGGTTCTTACACAGAAGACTGCCATACTTCTCAACAGTTCATTTTTAGAACAGAAGTGTGAATTTTTAAATTATTATTCTTTATTATTTTGTCCTTCCTTTAGCTTTTCATCATATTAACAGGTAACCCCACATGCTCGCTGCTTAAAAACTTTTCATAAATTTTGCTTGGGAAATCAACTTCTTTGTGGGGTGTTTTTTCTGTATCCTTTGTATTCTGTCTGCTATATTCTTATGCTGCTCATACTAGACATCTGGCTGTCTTCTCCGCCCAATTTCTGATGGGTGTATGCTGCCTGGGAGAATTTCTAGTTGTTTCTGGTGACTCTGCATTAAACTAAGCTAAATAATGTATAGAAACTCACATCTAAAGATGTTAGTTTTCATCTCCACTATACCAACTTTCTGGGTCTATATCAACTTTTGGTATATATCAGTCTGTGGCCAAATTATTTGGGTCTTGTATTTTCTGTGCACAGATGCAGAGACAAATCAGGTGTGGAAACAGTGAGTTCTGCGCAACACAGGGGCATGATTAGTAGGATCCAGGTAGGGTCAGCTCAAGAGAGATGGTACAGACCAACTCCAGAGGTTTCACCTGCAGCCTCCCAGGCCTAGGTAAACATAGTAGCTCTCGTTCCATGCCCAGCCCTAGCTGACTCCAGGCATAAACAGTGCTTCTAACTCCTCTGTGCAGGGTTTTGGATTTTGGGAGCTATAATAGCTCTAGCACAGCACCTTGTGGGTGCCTAGATTTACCTCGGGGAGCGCAGCTCAGAGGTGCCCAAATGCAGAGATCAGCGTGGTTCCCTGGTGACCGCTGCAGAGACCAAAGGTCAGTGCCTTCACAGCAGGACAGGTATGCTCTGCAGCCCACTTTTCAACTCTCATTCCCCAATTGTCCAGGCTTGAGGACCCCTCCTGTCCAGGCAGCTGGGTACCAGGATCTCCAGGAAGACAGTGTACAATCTGGTCTCATGTAAGCAGTCCTGAGTCAGGACTCGGAAGTAGAAAGTGTATATAGACACAGCCCAGGTATCCCTGCCCTGCGCTCCTGTTGCATTGCAGACTGCCCTTATTATCCAGACTTTCATGGATGAGATTTCCAGATCAAAAGTACTGAGATCGCCAGGATGTGCTGACATCAGACTGAAGTCCAGTAGCAGCATATTTGAAGTTACAGTACCATTCACCCATTCCCTAGCAGTAGAAGGCCTTTCAAGAAAAAACATTACTCTTTCATGTGCAGCCTGGTCTTACTGGAGCACCAGCATGCCAAGTTTCTGTTTCAGTTAAAGGAAACAAGAAGTTCTTAAAAACTCCTAGTTCCTTTCTGCAACTATCCAAATGCATAAGGAGGATTTCCAGGTATTTCCTAGAATACAAGGTATTCTAGGTATTATTTTGAGTCCCTATCCTAACGTTCCTCTTAAAAGTATCTTGAAATCAGACATGCTCAATAGTCAGCTCATCTTTCCAGCTTTGTGGTCTTTGTCGCCTTGTTACAGGAGACATAACAAGGTCCATGTCAAGGTGTCTATAGGGACTTTCCCACCATCCCACAACATTTGTGCGGAGGAGGTAGAGCTTGGTGTTGCAAGAACTTTGACGCTTTCCTGCCTTGCGATGCTGAAACAAACTTCTCAGCTGCCTAGAAGGATATCTTGAACAGGAGAATGAAAATTATATTTGAGTCTCAAATACAATAGCAATTCTCCTCTTTGTCCTGCTCTGCTGCACCTGTTTTAAAGTACAAATTGCTCTGCAAGCTTTATGATCCAGTCTGCCTTGTGCAGCACAGTATACTATACAGCAATAGACATATAGCACTGGTTTTAATCCTGCTAAAATATCTTGTGATTTCTGTCACAGTTCAGTCTTCTGGGAAGCTTTAGAAGGGATAAGTAAAATGAATCTGCCCCAACGGTGCGGGACTGGCTGCGTACACTAACAAAGATCTGCACTGTAAAAAATGTGAGAAACAGTCTTTCACAGAATACTTAGAAAAAATTGTGCAAAAAAAGGACTGCCAAATTTTTGTTGATGTGATTTTCAGATAAACTGAATCTTTGCTATGGTGCTTTGACTCAGTTTAGAAGCACTCCAGTTTGTGGATTACTGATGATTTTTGAAAAGTTGTACTGTATTATACTATACTAGTTACCTAGGAAGTTGCCTTAAAGCAGCACTGTGGGAGAAGGGAAGTCCTGAGTCCGCATGAGAAACCACCGATAGTCACCTTCAGTTTAAGGCTGTGGAAGCAGAAGCTAAAATATTTCCTGTTCTGTCTCGAATGAATATGTTTCAGTGTTCAATTTCTAATCTTCCAGGATGCTTTGTGGTATGCAACTAACAGCTGTTGTGAGTAGCATTGTTTTTAAGCTTACTGTTTTTGTTTCATGTCACACTTTTTTTTCTTTCCTCTTCTGTGCTGTTGGCTTCACTTCTGGCTCCATCAGAGAGAGCTGCAGGTCTTTGCTGCCGCTTAGTAGTCCCCTGTCATAAAGGAATGCCAAGGCTTACTGATCTGTCTGTCAAAACCAAAGATGTCTGGGAAATTCCACGAGAATCCCTACAGTTGATCAAGAGACTGGGAAATGGGCAGTTTGGGGAAGTATGGATGGGTATGGAGCAAAAAAATTATTCTAAAATAGCTCTCTGTGTGGGGATTACAAGATGGAAGGTGAAAGTGTAGGACATTGTGACCCACCAAAAAAAAAAAAAAAGGTGCAAAGCTCAAATTATTAGGAAAAATGCCTTGGGAATTATGTCTCTGACTCTGAAATCCTTTCATCTTCAACTTTCACAGTAATTGATGGGAAAAGAAAACTGAACTTTCATGTTCCTTTGGAAGGTTTCAATTTTGACAAATTACTACAGTCTTAATAATAAATCAAGGCTCACACAGTGAGTCTGGTAATTATACCGAGGAGCCTTTTCCTGCAAGCTAGCAAAAAAGTCCCTGCCTGCAGTATCCAAAAATCAGTGTTTGCAAGTGAACTTTACTGCAACACTGAAAGACAAATCACCTTCCATCTTTCTCAATGCATGCATTATTTTGGATTATAAGTGTGTTTTTTTTTATTAATTTCCTCTCCTATAGAGAAAGCTGATGGTTTGTGTTTTAACTTAACTGTGATTGCTACGAATAATACCCCACAAACTGTTGGATTGGCTAAAGATGCATGGGAAGTTGCACGTGATTCATTATTTCTGGAACAGAAGCTTGGTCAGGGGTGTTTCGCTGAAGTGTGGCGTGGTAAGGCAGAGAATATATTTTGCTTTGGATGGATCTTTTAAGGCCCTCTTGACAGAAATAAACATTTCAAATAGAGATCTGAAAGCTAGAAGATCAGAGTAGTATGAAATGTTAGTCTATATCGCCTAGTACAGTCAGACCTAAATACAGTAATCTATGTGGATGGAAACTTTCATTTGCACTCACTGGTATGAGGGTCTAGTTTTAAACTTCATTAATTGCAATGGGTTTATTTAGATGACTACACAATAGTTAAATATTAAAATGGGAGCAACACTAAACCCATAAAGCAGAGTGGCTAACCAGAAATTAATGTTAAGCAGACATTTTTCTTTCCTCATGTGTTTTAGCATTGATGGGGTCAGCCCTTGAAAATGCTTCCATCCCCTCCCCCGGTTTAAAAAATAAGGGCAAGTGTCAGCAAGCTAATATTGTCAAGCCAGCTTTCCCATGCATCCACTTCATAAATTCTGTTTTGAAATTTGTATATGTGGCAAAACCCAGTAACTTGATATAGAGACCAGGGACAATAGAGTCAAGACTTGCCCAGCCCAGCTGAACCCACTCTTTGAAGTCCAGGAACTCTGACATTTTCCAAATCCACTGACATTGTTTTCTGCACGCTTGCCTGGTTTTCTTACTACTCCCTTCTCCATGAGCCACCTTCCTGACTGTAAATGACTGTAAAACAATAGCAATTAAAAGACAGATAAATCTTAGTGTAGTCTTAGCACTGAAACACAACATACTGGTCACTTCATGAAAGGTGTACTCATTTTTTACAGCAAATTGCATTCTGTATAGCCTCTCTAAAATGACTGATGAAAAAAACCAGCAGCAGCACTATATGTAGTTTCTTTACTTGAAGGTCATTTGGTGGACCAGTTTGGTCATTCTTTTTGCTGCAGTGACACAAAAGAACGTAAAACTAAAATAACCAGTGGCCTGTCCGGGGTGTTTGCTGCTATTTTCCATTGCAAGGCTACAGCAAGGAACATGCCAGTACGTCTGTGAAGTTTACAGAATGTGGCTGACCTGTTGCAAAGAAAACTGCCTATGTTCTCTGTTAGCATCCCAAGCTAGCTGCAATTTCACCTTCTTGTTCTCCATCTCGAATGCATGTGAGAGATTCAAGTTGATGTTAATTCTTAGTGGTCAGCTTTGTATGCCACAGATCTTAACTGTAACAATAAGCTAAATTAGCAAATGCAATTTTAAAAAAATCTGAACTGTGAGAAATAAAATACCAAGTATCGGTCAGAAATGCAAAAGTTATTATTACAGTAGTTGCATTTTTTTCTTAAAGTAATATGTAGTAAAAATGTTAGTAGTCCTGAAGCATTACCAAATCTGAATAGATTAATACATTAAAAATGAACTAAAAAATGCATTAAGTAGTAACTAACTACCAACAGAAGAAGTTCAGAAGAAGCTCTCTACTAGTGAAGGTTAACTAATTTTCCAATGACAGATAAAAGTACTAAAGCACAACAAGAACATTTTATAATTTAAAGTGAAATTTACGTGAGAAGGTGAAACAACCTTTCCACTTGATTTTCTTTTTTTAAGTAGAGAAAGTCACAAAAGTATTGTTAAAAAGGAGAATTACCGAAAGCACGTCACAGTGATAGAGTGAGTCTTGCGGTTTTTATTTTGGCCACGCAAATAGATAATACACAATTAATCAGGTTTAACACGCCAAGTAAAATCCTAGTTTATTAATGTCAGTGACAAAAGCCCTGGTGTCTGTGAGACTAGGGTTTCATTCGAGGTTTATACAATTTGTGGTAATTTTGCAGAGTGACTGCCTGAAGGTACTCTGTGGTTCTGTTTCTCAGTGGCCCCATATGAAACATACTCTCTTTCACACATTAGAGAAGCCTTTGGCCAGCCTGCTTAAAACCAGAAGGCGAAGCTGTATCCTTCCTGGCTTATACATTAGTGCCACTGAAGTGAAGTCCTGCTTCAGCTCTGATTTGAAGGACTGAGCAGGCTAAGAGCTGAGGAGTCTGCCTCAGGTACCCTGAGCTAGCAGTAGTGGTAGCTCAGGACATTACTCTGCCACCGAGGGAGGTCACAGCACCTGACACTGAGCTGGCGGAAGAAAGACAAGGCTTAGTGAAAAACAAAATTTTACAGCCCACTTTTGGCCGATACATATCTCTTAAGCACATAGTATGTCGCTGCATGAATTGCCCTGGAAGTGAAAGACGACATACCCAGTGGCTCCCAGCCACTTCTCCTCTGTCCTTGACTAGGCGAGATGGCAGTTGGGAATTGACTTTTTACACAAAAGCAGTCCAATTTGGTTGTGCTCTGGCAGCTTGCAAAAAGCTCATGATCAAGTTATTTTGGCTCAGCCAGTTCCTGCACAACAGCTGAGCTGTGGTAACGGGCTGTTACTGTGCTCTTGACAAGTTCCAAATACGCTTATTTTACATGTTACCTCTGTCATTGACATCTTCAGTCACAGAAAGTAGACTTAAGTCTGAGTCTTCTTGTATTTTGTAGGCCGTCTGCAAACCTCACACTCACGTGCAGAGGAATAAATTTCCCCCAATGTGATTAACTGCTGAAGCCATTTAGGGTTGTTCTCCTGCCTTATTAAATAGCCGTTCCCTATAAACAGATCATATTCTATATGAAATCTTTGAGATCCAAATTAAAAGAATTCCACAGCCACACTTTCACAGTCAGTGCTTTATAGAGAGCCAACAGAGAGAGTGTAGACTGCTTGTTTCTGTGTTAGAAGTGATTTCTTAGTGATTTCTTTTAAAAAAATAACTTTTTTAAAAAAATAAGCATTCACCATTGCTTCTGTAGCTTTTGGCTCCCTATTAATATAGGACAGTGGTTGTGAATTTATCAGTAAAAACAATCAAGAATTTTTCTGAACAACCGTAGTTCTGTATATGCCCATCCACTCCAAAATGCTGTATGAAAACACACCATCTTGAGATGTTTTCCTCAGGTTTTCTGCCAGCTCACCTAGCAAACCGCAGGGGATCCTGTGCTTCCAGGGTTGATGGCTTCAGCCTTCCCTGCTGACTCCTGGTAGTTCAGGGGTTCCATTCGAATCTGTTTCAGCCCCAGCCCTGAAGAAGGGTTCTGGGAAACCTGGGCAAGGGACAGCTGAAAGGCACTCGGGAAGTGATATTTCCACCCATTTTCATTTTCTTTTCTTTCCCTTCCCACCTGCCCCACTCTCAAGAAACCTGTCATCATAGATAGATGTTTATTTCTTCCTTTCCTGTCCTTCCTCTTCCCCCTTACAAATACCTGAGCGAAGCCACACCACTTGTGGGAAGCCCTGAGTCAGTGTTGCCCAGCTCTCGCCAGGTCCTTGTGCAGGCCGTCAGGGTCCAGAGCGGATGCCTGTGCTTCCCACCGGTGTCCCAGGGCTCTGCGCCCCAGCACTGCCGGCCTCTGCGGCTACCAGGCTCTCCCACTCCTGGGGCCAGTGCAGCCAGCCACACGGACAATCCCACAGGAGGAGGTCTGCAGGTTTCCAGTAGCAGAGCAGTATGCTCGGCTGCGTTGCCCCAGAGCAAGGTATTCCAGAAAACTTGGTTAAATCATGGCCGAAAAGTGATGCGACTTGTTCATGTCCTTGCTAACCACAAGTAAGGAGCAAAGCAAACTGGACAAGAAGCACCTAATTTTCAGTCAGCAGCTGCTGGGCTTCTGGGGGTGAGGAAGGGAGAGGAAAAGACACATTTCGTTTTGGAAACATGCCAGTGTTTCTAAAGTGAAATCAGTTCAGAATTTGTTTCTTGGGAATTTTTCACAGAATGTTTTTTGCCCTGACTCAGAATAGAAAATGTTAAAGTGGCTTGCAAATTGAAAGGGCTGGGTTTAACCAGTTCTGTTATCCAAATCTGTGACTGGTGCTGCGTTGTTTTCAGTAGTAATTGCTTGTCACCGGGGAAATATGCGAAGACGGATTTCAACAGTATGTACTCGGTCCTGTATTTCTTACTCGGAGAAGGTTTCCATCAACGTCGGTGGAAGCGTTGTCTGAGTAAGATGAGGGAGATTGTGCCCCAATGGCAACGGGAGTATTGTTTTTGGGAGTATTATAAATTATGAGGGAAAGGTGGGAGGAATATAAATGATGAGGCAAAATGTGAAACCACTTTTAAAAAAAAACAGTAGTAAGTGTCGTTGCTACTTTACTCTTGGGTTACATTAGGTGTCGGTCGGAAAAGGAGCAGGAGATGGTTAACCTAACTAAATATCTGTGCTTGTAGGTACGTGGAATGGAAATACTAAAGTGGCCATCAAGACTCTGAAGCCTGGCACTATGTCTCCAGAATCATTCTTAGAAGAAGCCCAAATCATGAAGAAGCTAAAACATGATAAACTGGTCCAACTTTACGCTGTGGTGTCTGAAGAACCCATCTATATTGTCACGGAGTACATGAGTAAAGGTGAAGTCAGAGCTGCTGCCCTTGAGAGCAGTATTTTTTTTGGTCAAAGCTATTTGTAGATACAGAGAGGGGTGCAATATGATGCATGAACAGTATGTGTAAGGAAGGAGACAGAGACTAGGAGACTAAATTCACTTCTGGCTTCAGAAGAGTTAGGAATTCAGCTCTGAACTGCACCCCAAAAACTAAAATCCCCTAAATGTACACGTAACAGAAAATTTATGCCAGGTAGGGGGAGGGAGAAGTAGGTACAGCTTAAGTGTTTTCAACTTCCTCAGCCTCTAAACCTCCCTTACAACTGGAGATTTGCATTTTCTGGATTTGAATGATATTACATAATGCTTCCTGATATTCTAACTTTTTCTGGCACTGGAGAGTTCATATGGCATCTTCTTTCAGTATTTACTTCTCAGCCTAAGATTTTGCTTTCAAAAGCAAGTCTGAGTTGTGAAGCATATACCTCACCTCTTTGATCACAGCTTAATTTTAAGTCTGCCCCATTTATCATTTTAACAAACGGTTTGCACGTGTGGTTATTTTCTCCTTCCCTTCCCTCCTCTTTCCTTCCCTCCCCTCCCCTCCCCTTTCCTTCCCTTTCCCTTTCTCATCCTCTCCCTTCCCCCTTCCCCCTTCCCCCTTTTTCTTTAAGGTACTTCACTGGTTACAATGTAGTAAAATGAGAAAAGGAAAACTTTGAGCTCCATCAGATCTCCAGCAGGGGTGCTAAGAGTAGAGCAAAAAATCTGCTTGTTTTGGAAAAGCAGCTGAACCAAATAGGAAACATAAGTTCTCACAGGGTAGTTTCATTGTAGGCTGGAGGATACGCTCTCAGATTCTGAGTACATTTTTTCAGTCTATTATTTGGAGTTGATTTGTATTTTCCTGGCAGGTGCCTGCCCACCTCCCTCCTCAGAGGCATCCAAGTACTGACTAAGTCACACTTTGGTCGTATGTCTCAGTGTCAAGCATGTGCTTTTTCCCCTTCTGAAAATCTTTCTGAAATACATGGTTTATTTTGGCTTAGTTTACTAGTTTTTACTGTACCATTTTGCATCTTTGTTTCTGAGCTTGAGGCTGAGGATTTATCAAGGGAGAAACGCCTAATCATCTGTCTTTTCCCCTTGTTTATTAAACCATTTGACTGACCTTATTTAAAGGAGACTGCTCCACTTCTCTGTTTAAATACACACTAAGTACAAGGTTGGGAAGGGAGCTATGGCATCCTAAGCTTTTTTAAAAGTGTGGAGAACCTCCATGCTTTCCCTTGCACAGGGAAGGCATGTGCATACTGCTTTTGCTAAAACCACTTTTGTCTGATCTCCGCTTTGTCTTCCTCAATTTTGCGTAGCAGTCTTCTGAAACTAATGTTTCACACTATGTTTAGTTGCATGTTACCTAAAGAAGAATAGCTACTAATTTTTATCTCCTAAGGAAAATTAGTCTTTATTAATGCTAGCTCCTTTGGGCTTACTGGGCTTCCGGCTGACCTTTTCTTTGGAGTAGGTTGAGCTGAGATCTGACTTTTTCCATAGCTTGTGTGGCTTGGAACCGAGCTGATGCTTTTCAGCTAGCTGACGCCTTTGGAGAGCAGCATTATGTACTTTAAAAGACCGCTGGCACACACAGAATTAAGTTAAGAAAGATCAACTTTCTTAGTAATAGTCAGGAACGTTAAAAACAATTTTGTTTCTTTTCACTGCAACTGTCTTTGGAGTAGTGACATCCTCTTCTGCAAGCCGACCTTAAAGCAGAGTGAAACAATGTATAATAGAATTTTAAAATATTGCTCTGTCTTTGAAGCTGTTCACTTGAACTCAAAACATTTCTGTCTTTGATATTGCATATAAGGTTTCATATCCATCCTGATGAATAGTCATTTTTCCCTAACATTTCTGTATTTTTTCAACTTTGCATTTACAGGGAGTTTGCTAGATTTCTTAAAAGATGGAGAAGGAAGAGCTTTGAAGTTACCGAATTTAGTGGATATGGCAGCCCAGGTCTGTTCTCAGAGTAATGAGCATAGGTATATGTGTTTCATAGCCCATTTATGTGCAAGTATGTTTTTAAATGCACCGATTGTGTTTCATGCTTCTAACAGGTGGCTGCAGGAATGGCTTACATTGAGCGAATGAATTACATACACAGAGATCTGCGATCTGCAAACATTCTGGTGGGGAATGGCCTAATATGCAAGATTGCTGATTTTGGATTAGCAAGACTGATTGAAGACAATGAATATACAGCAAGACAAGGTAGATACTGCAGCAGGCATAGCATGGAGTGTCATTTTTGTTATGGGAAAGAGCAGAAAATTGTTTTGAAAAAATCTCTCTCTCTCCCTCTCATATGCTTTGGAGTTGCCTTCAGTAAATCCTGAACTCGTAATTAGCTGCTAGCCCAGAATTTTACTGGTCAATGCACATCCTAAAGAGAAGGTTTTATTTGGCTGTCTTTGTTTCGTTTTGGTCAGTTTCTAAAGGAAAGATGATGACTGTGAGCCCAGGTGGGTTAAGTAACGCTAAAGACAAGATCCATAAGAACAACAATATTTTACTTACCACCTTAGAAACCTGAACAGGAAACCCGTAAAAGTCTGTGCCACTATAAGCTATTTATTTGTTAGTGTGTATTCTAATATTTACTGAACTGCTGTGCTAGTCTTACCTTTTTTTTTTTTTCCAAACTGGTCAAAGCAACCTATTCAAGACTTCTGCCTTTATGCAATAGCACTGTCTCTCTGAGAACAGTATTTTCTTCGGGAACTTAAAAAATTACTTTGATAGCAAAGCCATTTGCCAGTGCCACACAGACTGCTGGGCACAACCAACCACTGATATGCTATAAAAATATACCAGAGAATATTAGAACTTTTTTTAAAAGCATGTATTTGTTCAGACTGAGCCATGACACAGGCTCTTTGTAGTTAGTCATTCTTTACAAGTCATGCTTAGTTGTCAGATGTTGATCCAAGTTTGCAAAGCTACAGTTTTATTCCCTCTCTGCTGGCAGTACATTGGTAGCGCTTGCTCAATATGTGTCGGTAAATACCACTCCGTCCCTTTTCAGTTCCAAAGCCAGCGAGTGTCTTATTAAACCATGTTGTATGTCATCAGAAGGTAAGGTCAGTTAAGTACTCCATACCCCACATTTACTCCTTTCTATTGCAAGCTGCTTCTCTTAACCAAAAGTCCCTGTTCTAGCATGGATTTTGTCATTAATTCTTAGGAAAGAGCTAACCTCTTTCTGTAACTTTCAGGTGTTGACAGAATGAGCCAGAGAGTTTCCGGAATGCCTTATATGTCCCTGGGAGCAGAAGCTCTCATGCCGTTTGCACCACTCTTAATTGCTTTCAGCAGTACCTAGTCACAAAGATGGGGAGCATGGGCTACATCCATGCTAACAGTCACCTACTGTGTGTTCAGACAGGAAGGCCTGATTATTTTGTGGTGGCCTTTAAAGAACCTGTGATAGATATTAATGCAGAGAGTTAACCAGTACTGATTTGAGCCTGAGGGTAGGAATTGTTCCTTGCTTGCAAAAGTAGTCTTGTGTCATTCTCTCTAAAGCAATAACAGTGTCTGCGAGCTCCGGTAGACAGAAAGCTGCTTGCTTTGCCTTCCCTTGTGTAAAGCAAGAAGAGTTTTGCGTGAAAAAAGGCAGCCAGATTCAGTCTGTAAAATGGCTTTGAAACAGTGTTCTATATTATCTCAATTTTTGTCTGTTTTACTGCCATGTTTTTTATTCCCTTTGGAAACCGTCCAATGTATAGTTTGATATGACTCATTATTTGTTTTAAAATACAAGTATGTAACCTACTCCTGGCCAGATCTCTTCACGCTCCTGATCCCTAGGAAATCCTTTGATGCCATGTTTGCTTCCTGGTTGAAATCTCTCAGAATAGTTTCGCCCTCTTTACATGTTAGAAATCTTTGAAACTCTGCCTGGCTGATGTTGTGGAGAAGCTTAGTTTTTAGAAGACAATAAAAATTGCTGAGTTTTGGATGGGAAACCTTGAGCTGCAAAATGTGAAATGCCAGGACTGGCAGGGGAGAGGGAGCATAGACGTGGGTATCCCCTGCCCTTCTTCAAATGTGGAAATCACTTGTTTTGTGGAAAAAGAGTCTGGCTGGGGAAGGAGGAGTGGTTTGGCCTTGAACCTGTGTGGCTGATGGTAGGAGACACGAATCCTGCTTCTCTGGTGTGATCTGATTGTGCAAGTTTGGAGAAGTCACCGTTCTGTCCTGCAGAGGGATGGATCTTCCCCTTGCTGCAGTCAGACTGAAGTCCCTCAGGGACAGAGAATGCCTTGAAGTAAGAACTCAGAGGGTTGTAATTATGGACGTCTCTTGCGGCGTCGTTCTCTCCATGGGTTGAGGGACAGGTTTTGTGGAAAGATTTTCCTACTTTTACTAATTTTTTGACTCCTCCTTAATCTGTAGCTTTGGTTTTTTTGTTTTGTTTTGTTTTGTTTTGTTTTTAACCAAAAAGGAGTAATCTCACTTCACATTTCACTGCAAGTAACCTGGCTTCCAGCTGGACACCCTAGTACCTTTAGCTTACTGAGGAAGAAAAATGGCTCCTATGATTCCACTGGAATCTTTCTTTCATTGGAATTCAATCCCGGTTTGTTTTGTTTAGCCTCGGTTTTGAGCATTGCTTGGTGGAGACCACAGTATCAGAAGGAAACGGTTGCCTCTGCTTGTTTCCCATGACCTATTACTTCAGCCTCTGAGGGGATGCATCTGGGGATTGCTCTGTTTATCTAGCTGACTACCGCCTCGGTGGGAATTTTGACGCAGGAATAGAGCCTGGCGAGCGGAGGGAAGGGGGGCGGGGAGCGCTGCAGCCCCGCAGCTCCTCAGGGAGCAAAGAAATGTTTTGCCATACAAAATGTGACGATTAAAGCCGTGGGTCACTCTCTCCTCCACAGTCCTCCGTCTCACGGCTGAAGCGGGTTAGTACGGAGCTTGTTGTCGGAGCAGAGAAGAGGTGGTTTCTCCAGCCTTGCTTGATCTCCTGCTCCCTTCCCCCACTGTCACTTTTGTCTCTATTTAAATATTTTGAAAGGAAACAGATGGGGATGCTTTGAGCCCCAGTGGGTTAGAGTGCAGAATTCCTGAACCTGTACGGGTATTACTTAGCCTGGTGGTAACGTTTCACTGACCGGTTTATTTTCTTTTTGGTTTGAACAAAGGAGACCTGACTGCTCCTGATTTATAAGAGGTAAATAAAAAGTGGTTCGTTGTCTGCACTGCCGTTTCTCAGCAATTGGCAGGAAGGAAAGAGATGGTCACACCACTAATGATTTAAAGTGTATGACTAGTAGCTATATACAGCCATTAAATAATACAAAAAAAAGAAAGTTCTTGGCTTGTAATGAGCATTTGGCTCCTCTAGTTTTAGAGGAAGTGAGTAATCAAAGGGGAAAAACATGCCTGTTGAAAGGACACCCATTTTAAAGGCTACAGTGGGGAACTGTATTGCAGCCTGCACCATCAGGGCTTGGTACTTTTGACAGTTGCTGTTGCATCATCTTTTCTCCTTGCACGGTGTCGAGCGTCACTCTTGTCTCCTTCCATCAGTGAGGATGCTTGCGTCCACCTCGGCAGGCAAGTCTTAAAACTCCAGCTCTTCTCTAGGACAGAGAGAAACTTCCCGTCACCTCCGACACAAGATGGATATCCCCTGCAGTTTTGTTACCCTTACACCAATCTGGTTCAGAGCTATGCAGCGTTTTGGCCAAGCACATGGCATTTTTGCGGAGAGTGCTGGGCGCTCCACAGAGTTGCTGGGGAAGAGTTGTTACTATTCTAAGCAGTAGCAGCTGATACAAATTTAAAATTGCCTTTACAAAAAAAGAGCAGAGTTATTTTCCAGGCCATGTTTCTACAGCATACACTGGCAGCACTTGCAGTAACGCTACTCCAGCACACATGAAACAATAAGGATCTTTCTGATGCCTTCCAGACAAGTCAGAGCTATTTCGGGAGCTCTGGTACGTGTTTGTAAACTTTCAGATCATTTTTGCCTCCTTAACAGTTAGAATTGTCTCCTTCCTGCCCTGCAAAAAACCAAATGATGCTTCTTATTTTTTTTTCCTAGAAATGAGTGGGGATTTTTTTTTCCTCCCTCCGTGCTCTTGCCAGTCCTTTTGTAGAGACTTGGCCGCCCGTTCGGCAGCTAATCAGATCTCTCTTGTTTGCAATGGACTGTACTGCAGGCTGTAGCGTCCGGGGCTTTGTTCTTGCTCTTTGCCTGCCGTTCCCGGGGCCCGCAGTGGAGCGGACAGGCTGAACGACTCTTATTTCTCAACAGCAAACCCCCTGGGGTCCTGGATTGCTGATACACTCCTACGGCGATGCCATCTGTTCTGCAAAAAGAGAGTGTGACCAGGTCAAGAGGAAGCACGAGGGGGAGAGGGGCTGCGTTCAGACCTGCCCTTCCATCCCTCGTTTCCCTGCTTCCCGGGGTGGGAGCAGCCTGCCGAGCCTGGTCCTGATTTCTGATGTTTTGCCAGGCTTGTAATTTCATGTTAGTTCTCACAACACAAAAAATGTAATTTGCGCAGTCCCTCCCACACAGCACTCATCATCGCCTACCACGACTGAGTCGTTTCCTGTTACAAGCCTGCTTCAGTGTTTAGTTTCTACCTTTTGCGGCTTCCCTTTCTCAGCCCCAGCAATTCGATGCTGAACTACATTTTCTCTGGTTGCTGACCCAAGAGCTCCCGTGGTTTATGGGTCTTAGGGCTTGGGGTGTTCAGCTGGGATAGGTTTTAAGGTGCAAGAGGTAGCAACTTCGTAGCGTTTCCTGAAATGGCATCATTAGCAAGCTGGCAGCAGCTCTAGGGCATGGATTTCAGAGGTTTCTGCTCGATAGAGATTTAGATTTGAAAAGCGAAGCTCCGAAGGAGCTTTCCCTAGCATCCGAAGAATCCAGGCTGAGAGTTGTACGTCAAGGTCACTCACTTATCCCAGCCCCCTCTTGCTCTTTATCATAACGCAACCTGCTTGGAGCCAAGGAAGAATTAAAGCAGGGGCACTGATTGATTTTCCCAGAGAAGTCCTCTTGGGAGATAACCTGTGTGAATGTCTGGGCAGAGCAGGGCAGAGATCCCGGGGCTAAGTCTGACTAAAATCCTCAGAGGTAGTCCTGTTGCCCTAACAATAGATCAGATGAGACGCTTTGGATTATTGTTTTATGCTTCCAAGCAGCGCAGAAACCCAAAAAAGGCCTTCCCCGAGCTGAAGCGTTTTGAAAAAGGGGTGGGGAGAAAAGCCACAGATTAAGACCTCCCTTTTGGGCAAAGACAGGCCATCCTGACCTAATGAATTTAGAGCGTGATCAGTTTATAGGCATCGAGTTACTGACCTGCTAGTTTGTAATAAAATGGGTTCATCCGTTCCAGCAAAAAAAGAGACAAATCCCCCCACTGACGTAAAATATGCCTTGGAAGTAGGAGATAGGCTGCCTTGTCAGCTGGGGTAATTTGGCTTATCAGATTTATTAACGTGCTTGTCAGTAGTACAGATTTTATCTGATGATCTGATGCTGTAATTTTGTTTTCAGCACAAATTCAGCTGTTTTAAAAAGCTGCTGAGAACTGGGCGGGGGGGGATTGGGAAGAGAGGGAGTGCAGAGACTGCGTGTCGATCAGAAGCCAGACTGAGCAACTGGAACAGCATCTGGCCTGTGTGAGCGCCTTGTACAGCAGTAGCAATCAGGAGGCTTTGGAGTGGTGCTCCACACATTTTGGGTTTTTTCTGTTTTTGCAGAAGTGCACTGTGCCTTTGTCCCCAGTACCGGACATTAGACGGGAGGCAGCACCTTGGAGGGGATCCACTTTAGTCACAGCAAAGTGTTGCTGTGACGGTCTCCTACAAGCACTCATACACACACACACGGTGGCATTGTTCATGCGGTAGCAGTGGTGCTGCCACCTGTTTGAGCTCCTCTGGAAGCACACAGAGCTTCTGATGGTGCTCTAAAAGTGCTTCTCACCCTTGCTGTTGCTTATCCTTGTTTCAAGCAAGCTGCGTACCATCTCTCTCTGTTACGGCTGTGCGTGCATTGTACCTGCAACTGTGCAGGTGGCTGGCTTGGTGCATCCTCACTGGTCTCTGCTCTCCCCTTACCAATGGCTCTGCCATACGAGTGCATTGGCTGTTTTGGACCATCTAGCTTCCAGCATGTGTTGCAGGCTTCAAAAACCATGAGGCAGAAACCTGCTGGTGGTCTCTCTGCCAGCCTCTCCTTCCCTTCCTCCCCTTTCAAACCAAAGTTCAGGAAACACTGCAAAAATGAGCATGTGACTTTTGTATTAGTTGTTTCAGGCAGACAATCGCCTGTATCAGAGGCAATATGGAAGTGTAATGAGTAGTCATGCTGCCATCAGAAACTCCACGGTGCAGACTGTTTGTCTTCTCCAGCAGCGCTCATCATGTCCCATGGGGTTGGTACTGCTCTAGCTCTGAGGAAAACGGATGTGCTGGAATTGTCCCCTCTTCTCGCCTCTTTACCTTGCTTGTCATCTTCCCATGGTCCCTCAGCATACCACATATTCACCTCCTGGTGCCACACTGCCAGTAGATGAAAAAGATAAAATTAGTGGAGGAGTTGGTCACAAAGGAGCTTGAAGAGATTTCTTTCTTCCAAAGATGAGCTCTGGGTGATTGCTACCTTTGGATCTGATTATGAAGCCCAAGGGAATTAAACCAGGGTTGGCTCAGCTTCTCAGAAGAAGAGCTGAGCACGGCTGATGATTGAAGAACTTGCTGGATAAAACATGTGCAACAAATGAACACACAAACCCTCACGCTTGGCCATCTCACCCACCACCAGCCAAAGTCCAGGTCTTCAGGCTGATAGCCAGCCTGGAGCTATTCCTTCAGCTGGCATGGTATTGGTGTACTATCTCAGCTGTGTATATGAAAGAACAGAGGGACATTAGTCCGCGTATTCATAATACGCCTGCCGTGGACCACAGGCCCAGGGAACATGACCTACAGATACATGCAGCTTGCACTTTTTCCAGGGATTGGCATGGGGTTTGTAGTCCCAGGCCTTGCCAGTGGTTGAGGGAGCCACTTGCCAACCCCTGTGGCTGCTGGTGTTGCTGAAGCCAGGTGAAACTACAGGACAGGGGCCTGCCATGGCAGGCTGCTGCAGAGCTCTCAGGCATCACAGCAAAGGTGGATTTTAAGAGAAGATGAAGCTCTGCCAACTTTGAGTGTTGTAAACTAGGACTGGTCTCATGAACAAGTAGCGCAGGTAAGGGAGACTAAGGCCAAAGCTGAGCACCTGAATTTTAGCTCCTGCCTTCATATTGACTAATGTAAATATAGAACAGGTTGACTTTTTTGAAAGTGCATAGACATCCACAAATCCTTCAGCACCTTTGGAAATCTAACCTTTGATATGCTGATGCTTAACTAGACTTAAGTTCCTAGCTTCAGGCGTTAGGGATTTGAAGTGTTGTCCTGCGTCTTTTAATTTTAGCAGGACCTATTTGAGCAACTGCAACTCGCGCAAGAAAATACATATTTCTCTCTGAGTAGCGCTCTGTCTTAGGACGACTTACATGTAGGGCTGGAAAGCTTTTAGCACACCTGATGTTTTACTAAGTGAGGGAATGAGATTTACCATGTCTACTTTGTGCTGTGAGCCCAAATGAGATTGCAGCATACAGCAGAAGCTGTGAGCGCTGAATGCAATGGCAGAGCAGGAGCAGCAGGGAACTGTAAACAGTGGCATAACTTAACTCTGAGACTGATTTGTCCACATTACAGTTTCCACACTCCTCCTGAAAGCTCAGGGAACTTTTATGGGAGGGTGGTGAGAAGTCAAAATCAGTATGTTTCAGAATTCGAGTGTGTTTGTCGCTAGGGATCAGCAAAAGGCAGTGCGACTCTTTTGCTTGTATGCTAATACAAGGCGTCAGGGAAATGTCTGCATACTTTTTCATACATACTATGAGTTAATTATTACCACAAGACTTTTCTTTAAAGTTATACTGAAAATCTTTTCCCTAAGAAAACAGTAAATGATTGGACAAGCAAATAAGTCAGTATTTAAAGGCTTGTTATCGTACCATCCTTACCACAACTGGCTCCTGCAAGCTCTATTGATGGATGAGCACATTAGAACTGCACGTATTTAAGGCGCTGTGGGCTTTTCAGTGCCAGGAGCTTGAAGTACGCTGTCAAGTTATAAATCACAGGCCAGAGTTATGCCTTGACATCATTGCACTCCAAGCAACTTGCATGGCAGTATTATTTGTAAGCCCTTGCATGTTTCTAATGAAATATTAGGTTTGTTTTTAATTTATGTTTTTACCATATTTGTTTGTTTTGCATTTTGCTCAGCTTGAGCAGGGAAACTGGGAGGTACACTTCTAATAAATCTCACTTCTATTCGTACATGCTAATTCTGTTTAAGCTGCAAATATCACAGGGAAATGCTAATTGAAAACATTCTGGGAGAGTTTCTCTTATGTTGGGGTTACTGTTTTTTATAAAAACTTCTTTCCTTTCATAAAACATCAAGTCTGAATTAAAATTTCTTACACTTGGGATCCGGGACAAATCCACCCCTTTTTCCTGCTAAGTCTTTCCCTCTGCCCTACACATTCCCCCTGTCCCATCATCCTTGGTCCTATTCCAAGGAGTAGTAAGTTAATATGTGTCTGCAGCTCTGCCAGCCCACAGTGTTGCAGAACAAAACGGTCACCTGTGAACCGCTACTTTGATTCTGTCTCTATTTTGATTAAAACTCATTTATTCTTTCATTAGGTGCAAAGTTTCCCATCAAATGGACTGCACCAGAAGCAGCGTTGTATGGAAGGTTCACAATAAAGTCAGACGTGTGGTCTTTTGGGATCCTACTGACAGAGCTGGTAACAAAAGGGAGAGTGCCATACCCAGGTAAGAAAACAGTCCCTAGTTGGAGCTGTGCTTCACCTGGGGAAAGGAGTGGGAATGAGCCACATGCATAAATTGGACTTTACGATTATTTTCATTAGGCTCAAAGGAGGATGGTTATCATGCATAAGTTTTGCATATGCTTAAAAATGGTCCTAACTCAGAGAGCCAGTGTGTGATGGTCGTGTTGAAAATGACAAGAGACAGAAAATCCAACATGTGCATTTTTATTTCTCTTTTGTATTATTCTCAATTCAGTTAGTATAACTTTTCTCAACCAAAAAATAAAATAAAACCATGTAAAATTACTGTATAATAGAGCAAATAGCTCTCCATAGTATTGTACCCGCTTTAAGATACCAGCCGTTAAACTTCCAGAGTGACATTATCCCATTTATTCTGTCAGTCTGTTTCTGTACAAGGTTTGATGACTGCCCGAATGTCTGGTGTTACCAAATCTCTTTTTTATAAACTCTTAAATTTCAATCCTGGTTTTAGATGTGGATGGAAAGGAAAGAAAAGAATTCTGTAACGTGCAGGCCAGAGCTCAAGGCAAGGTCATAGAGGGGCCAGGTTCTCTGCACCGGGAAACTGGAGGCCCCATGACTCTTTGTTGAAACCCTGCCAAGTATCCAACGGATTAAGATTTGTAGCAGTGGTGACTGGATCTGCCTACACAGAAAGAGCTTTTCATTCTGTTGCCCCCTGAAGGTTGTAGGCATTCAGGTGAAGAAGACAAGGGTGAGGTGAAAGCAGCGCATTAGATGGAAAAAAATTTAAGCCCTTCGTTTATTTATCACCACAGATACTAACAACCAGGCATCTCGTTACATCGTGGTTCTTTGTTTGGAAATTTCCCTAAATACTCACCAGTAAACTTTGGCTGTATGTACTGCAGCTGACTTAGTGAAAAGCATGCTAGAGCCATTTCAGTTTGCCAATCATCTGTGCCATTTCCAGGCAGTCAGATCCGTACATCAAATTCAGCAGGCAAAGCCTCACGGTGGCGCTCCGATTATCCTGTTGTCCTGCAAAACTGAACTCCCAGAGGTTTTGCTCAGACATTTCGATTCTGCTAGCTCCTAGCAGCCAGTAGCTGATATTTGGGAAGAGAATATGGGGACTCAGTAGTCCCCATAGTGATCGGTAGTGAATTTTGGCAGGATTAACAGGCAGCATCTTAGCAAAGCTGCAGCTGTGACAATAGAAAGAAGGAGCAGAAGGTGGGATGGTGCATGTCTGTGCAGTGGATGAATCCCTCTGCCCAACACTTCTGTATGTGGTTAAAGGAAGGAGGGTCCTGCCACTGCATAGAGCAGGTGGTGTCAGTAGCAGCCTCAAAGGTCTTCCTGCCAGGAGGGTTACTGGCAGAGGCATGGGAGGGCCAGCGTTATCCATAGATTTGCAGAGGGTTAAATGCAGGCAAGGCACTGTGTGCAAAGGTTGCAGAAGTTATAAACAAAATGTGTAAGATTTAGCTGAAACTGTCATTTCCACAAGGTGGGCAAAGATCTTGACCGTGATACAGGAAGAGACAGTTCCTGGTCGGTCCTAGCAGAGTAGATGTACAGGGACTCTTGCCAGCCAGGACAGAGTTAAGGGTGATTGTTTTCTTTTTTTTTTTTTTTTTGCTGAGCTCTGCATTTGTGGAAGAGAGATGCTTTGTAACTATCCTTCTCTCTTACCATTTGTGTGCACATACACATACACACACACAGAGGAAATAGTAACGTGGGCAATGTCTAAGCCCTTCATTAACTCCACGGTTAATAATTGAACGTTGTGCTAGCCAGGGCAATAGAGGAGGTCTGCATTTCCCAAGGGTTGCTTTCCTTCCCTATAAGAGAATGAGGACAGTGGATGTGCATTTAAGTGCTTGCAGTATATAATTTCTTATAGGATCCATGACAGAAGTCTCAGGCATGGTTTGTGTCCTGAAAATACAGACAGTTTTATTATGTGGCAGTTTGAGCACATCAAAGACAACTGGTGGCATCTCTCCTCTTTCAGTGCTGTCCTCCCCCTTCACCCCTTAGCCCATAAAGCCCCCACATGCTGACAGTCTTTCCGGCTCATTCTCCCCTACCCATGTTAGGAAGAGATCAAGTAGCTAGAAACAACTTTTTATGGGCTATGTATGACAAGAGGGAGCAATTTACTGGATGGTCACATACTTCCCTGGTTACACACTGCATGAGCTCTGCACTAGGACCCTTCCTCCCTGCTGTGACTCCCACCTTTGCCTCAGCCTGGAGCCCTTAACCATTCCCGTGACCATCATCACTCCCACCTCGGTCAGTTTTACCGAAGGGCGGCCTCTATTTAAGCTTTGTATTAGTCCTTAGAGATTTAAACTAGGTCTCATATCCCAGACCCTGACTGAGGAGGCTTTTATACACTGATACAATAGGGAAACTGAAGAATTGAGGCCTTCTCAAAAGCCCAGGTATGTAAGTGGGATTGACAGAGGGCTCAGACTTCCCAGAATGGCATGGCCCTCCTGAGTACCTCAGAGAGGACGCTGTTTTCCCCGACCTAGAAAGGACCATCCATCTCCTACTTCACACTTGGGAAGGAAGGATAAAGCTTTGTGAATTCTGATTCCTGTCTGGGGTAGGGAGAAGGGTTCACACATCGCCACAGGAGAAGGGCCTTTCCTACCTTCACATCATGGCTTGCATGAGGAGGGAGAAACAGGAGGTGAGCCACCCCAAGGGACAGGACTCTGCCCTCCTCACCAAGGTGCAGCAGACAAGCTGTAGGTGAGAGTGTGCAGTTCACAGGCACCGCCGACCCACTCTGCCGCCCAAGCCATGGGGATTTGGAAGCTCAGGAAGGGGTCAACCTTGAAACAGAAAGGGTCATGGAGCTGACACCCTGCTGTAACGTCCAATTTCTGAAAGAGTTGTGGGCACATTGTCCCTATGCTCTTGCTCGTAGCAGGCCAGGGGAGCAGGGAGAGGCCCTCAAACAAAGGAATTGCTCTCTTACTGGACTCTTGGTGCCTGGAGTGGTTATTTGTATCACACGCCCCAGTTCTGTGGTGGTAACCATGCCTGCAGGCTGCTCTACCTCATGCCATTTAGAAGCAAGCATTGTTTTAAGCTTGCTTAGGAGGGAGAAGGACAACGCAGAGGACAAAAGGAGAAGGCGGGCAGTATGTGGACAGGACTAGATAGTGTATGTGCAGGACTTGGCATTCATCATCTCCCAGATTTCAGTCAGAACCTGTTCAGATGTCCCCTTCAGAAGGCAGGCTGGAGCAGTGGCAGGGTATGTGAGTAATAAAGATTTTGCTGGCAGAGGTGAAGATCAAGCCAGGGTTCATGGTCAAGCCTTGTCCCCCAGACCTAATAGCTCTCACAAGCAAGAGTCAGACTTTTTAACACATGCCATCATCTTCATCCTTTAGCCAAGCCTGCTTCTCTGTCAGTGGACCTAATGGATTGCTGTGATAACTAATTTATAAAAGCTTTCACTGCCATTCCCTAATGCTTTCCCTTTCTTTTCACAAGACAGCAGATTGAAATAAGCAACTTTCACAGTCTTTTGGGGTGTTGAGGTTCTTTTTTTGCCATCACACTCGGGAAATGAAAACTGGATATGGGCAGAAGAGGAGCCAAGTTTTGAAAAACAATCTGCATAGTCAACCTTTTTCAGTTTCTGTTTCTTTCCCTTTTTTCAACTTCCTCTTGGGTCTTAGTATTTTCTTAAATGGAGTTTAAGAGTAGGAGGCTGCGATTCTCTGGCGGTAGTCCAGAGAGATTGTTGGTTTTAACATGTTACCTTTTGGATAGACACGAATCTCAGTTTCACTCAACCAGCACCTTTGACTTGCCCCTTTTGAACTCTCTGCACTTGTCACATTGAGAGCATTTACATTTTATGTCTAGCCTGACAGCCACCATGATACCATCCACGGTGCTGTCTCCAACCAGGCTGGGCTTTGAGCTCAGACTCAAGCACCTCTGCAGTCAGTGGGGAGCTGTGTTCAGCCTCCCTGTCAGCTGGGGAGGCTCGGGCCGGAAATGTGAAAGAGTGCATGGCGCACTCCCGAGGGCCTGGGCCGAGCACCCGTCTGTGAGGCAGCATGTGTACATACCATCATCATGGATGGTAAATAAGAAGTCAAGAGAGATGCGTACTTAACATATAGCGCAGATACGTTCAGGTATGTTCTTTACTAGATAGGAAAGTTCCACTCACAAACGCTGTAGCTCCTAGTTGCATCCATTATATCTAGCAAATGATAATTTATTAAAAAACAAAAGGCAGAATTAGATAACCTAGCCCTGAGGGTGTTTTGAGGGTGAGGAGTTCTTAGGAGTTCTAAATGAAATGGTATGACTTCCAGGTGCTTATAACTTGTTACTACTTTTCCACAGGAATAATTAAGTTCATCTTATTCCCTGTAGCAAACAGCATTATGATTCAAAGGTTATCCACATTCAGGAGTAGCTTTCCCATTCCCTGTTACAGGAGCTATTGTTCCTATGTATGAAATCATCTCCCTGTCTGAGCCCCACGTCCCATCCCTCTCCCCTCGCTTCTGGCTTTTCTTTAGGGTTACCCACAGAAGTTAGGAATTCTGTTTCTACATCGAACCAACGAAAACTCATAAATCCAGCCATGCTCACTGTTGTACCTCTCTCTTGGAGGGCGTGCTGTCAGTGTCAACGTGATCTAGCCCCTCTGGAGAGCTAAACAATTTTACCTTACAACTGCACTAGAGGAGTGCCAAGCTGCCCACTGCAAATATGTCTGAGAAACCTTTGAACGTGAGCAGAGGCACAACTATGGGTCCTTGGAGAACCTTTAACCTCTGAAACACAGCATTTCTGGGGATGCACAGCAGATATACTGTTGTTGCAAGGGTCTTGTTTTAAGCATCTGTATCTGTGTAGTTTGGTCGTTGGACTGAGAGTATGCAGTGGATCCTGAAAGATAATTCTCAGTCCAAAAGAAGGAAGAGAGAATAAAGTGGCTTAAAACCATCACTGCCGTCACTGGGTTTGGATTGCCCAAAGTGACCTATGTGAAATATAAGCTTACATCTCTTACTAGTGCAGCTTTTCTAGGAAAAATCAAGCAGCATTGTGTTTCTGTCCCCAGTCCGTATGGGCAGTATATTTTTATTCCGTCAGGTTTTAAAATGGACATATTCTGTGGTATGCTAAGACTGCTGTTCTACTAGCACAGCTGGATGGCAAGGGGTTATTTGGTCTTTGCTGTTCTTGGGGAATGAAGAGCTAATAGAAAAAAGCTGCCCTTTGGAAATTGGATGTTTTCTTTTTGGTCCAAATGCTAGTTCTAGAAACATCATGAACACAAACAGGTTTTTAAGAAGGTAAAAGAGCTGTAGTCTGCAGGAGAACATTGCTGAGTAGTTTATTCCACAGACTTAGGGTTTTGTAAAATAAACTTTTAAGGGGTCTGGAAGTGTACTGCAATCAGAATTTCATTTATTATTTACAAAAAGACTTGAAACTCTTGGGAATTCATTAGGAGAGAAGAGTTATACCAGCTGCTCAAATATTCTCTCTGTGGTGTTAGAAGTGCAGATACAGCAGGCTCCTGCTATCAGAAGGGAAACGCTGGAACGTGTAGGATAAGATAAGTGAATCTAGATAATAGGTTTGTAAACATAAACAGGCCCTGTAAGAAGGAAAAAATAGTATCCCTAAAACATTGCTCTTTTAGTAAGTCTGACTAATAATCCAAATAAGATTTTGAAAAAAATGTATTTGAAACTCTCTTTTCCATCTACTAGCACATCTTAAAACCAACCGAATATATATTGGATAATCCTAGATTCTGCAGCGCTTGGTAGAGAAATGAATTCCAATAAGGAACGTGAAGGTCACTTGATTTGGTTTCTTATCTGGGATTTATTCAGAGGAGGGAAAAGGAGAAAGAAAAAGAGGGTGTTTTTCTGGATAATACTGCAAAACCTAGCTTCACTGACTTTCCGGGGACAGAAATGACTGTGACTTCAGTCAGCACTGTCTCTTTCATGTTCTCTTTTCCACCTTTTTACAAGAAATGGGAAGTGAAGAGCTAGCTATTTGCGTTTTCCCTCCCCCGCTTCTCTCCTCCGGGTTTTTCTTCCAGCGTGTAACTTCGTTATCAAGTTTCAGAGTATGCTTTGCAGCACTGAGTAATGCACTGCATAAAAATACCAAACATTTGATATCTTAGAAAAACAAATCAGTTGGGAAGGAGCTTTTCTGCTGCTGTTGCTTCCATCCATGTTGTACTTAAAGGAGTACTGCCAAAATAAAAACAAAGAATGCAGTTTGCTCGTACTGTAGGTATATACAATATACGAGTTACTGTTAACACTCGTTTTCTTAGGCTTCACTATGTAAGGGAAGCAAAACACAGAAGTTTTTACCCCAAAACCTGGGCTAATTCAGCTGATTTAGAGATGAGAATAAGACAAAATAGTGCAGTTTGTTGTTCAAAAAGCAAATTAAAAAAAAAATTGAGACTATGACTTGGGCAACATGCCCATTTTTTCTTGTAGCATCTCAAAACCAGCAAAGCCAGAAGGTTTGGGTTGATACTGCCTTTGGGGTGGTGGTGCCTCACAGACCATTATATTCTTTTGCAATTTAAAAAGAAAAAGTGGGATATGTTTGTTAAGTTTTTTTGGGGTTATTGAGGAACATCCAAAAGTGTGTGGCACACTTTTCTGGTGATGTGAACCTGCATGACCTAACAACGTCAGTCTTTTGGAGTTGGTAAGACAGGAGAACTTCTACTCTAGGCACAGTCTGGTGCCTACAGAAGAACAATTTTTACTCTATTATTTTCACCATTCTATTGAGTCCTGATCATACGCCACTTTAGGTGCCATACAGTTTGTTCCTACTCATAAGCATCTAACACAAAAAATATAATGGGTAGATACAGGTGGAAAAGCAAACACAAGAAAGCGGTACTAAAGTGTTGGTCTGCAGGATAAGGAATACTATAAATCGGTAATCAAACCTTTGTTTTTGAAATTATCACTACAAAAGGGGGTGGTAAGGAGAGGATCGAAGGAGGGTGAGGCACTATTCTGAGGAGCTCCCTCCACGTGCAACAGGCAGCATAAGAAACAGCACAGCGGCGCTTATTTAAAAAGCCAAGGTGGTATGGTAGGTAGGAACTGCGAACCGACCAGGACATGACCGAAAGAGAAACTAAATGCTAGCGCGGCAGGTTGTGAGATGCTCTGAAATTGAAGACAAGCAGCTTGTATTTCACATAGCAGACAATGGGGAGCAAATAGCGAGTACAAAGGCTATAGGCAAGGAAAATGATCCTGACAGAGACATTGTGAATGGATTTCACCAGGAGGAGATTGCTTTGTCAAGAGGAAAAGGTTTTGTAATCATAACATGAGATGGGGATGCGGATGGACAGGAAAGGCTGTATCTTGCAGATGCTTCTTTCAGTACATCTTTAAGAATTAAACATAGCCAGGACATGAGGACTCAGGACAAAGTCCCAGTCCAAGCTTACACCTAAATTACCTGTCTAAATGCCAGGCAGGCATTGGATGTTATAAGGATGTTATTCACAGTGGTCAAGGTGGAGAGTAAACAAATGAATCTGTATTGAAGACGGTGGTTGAATATTTCTCATAGATAAGATTACCCAAAAATATGGGGTGGAGAGAGAAGAGCAGAAGATTCTCTGGGTCCTGAGGGTGGGTCAGGAAGGATTTTCCAGAGGACACCCTGGAAAAACAGGTAGAGGAGACCCAGGAAAGGACGGAGTCGTGGAAGCCCAGGGGAGGATAAGCTAGCAAGAGGAGCAGCACCAAAGTGCTGGTTTCAAGAATGACAGCGTTGCTCCCGGTTCCCCTGCAGAGCTGCTCGGCAGAACCCACTAAGCTGGGGCAGTGAAGTCTGCAGGTATTTTTCAGCAGTGGACTAGGGCTGTGCTTGCCAACTGGCAGGAAAGCAGTTTGTAAAGCTTGCTGTCAACGCACATACTTTCTCTAAAATACTTCTGCGTGCCTATGGTGCCGGCCTTACCCTTGATACTGTTAAAAAGCCCAAAGGAATAACTGGAAGAGATAGCTAACCTGAAGTTGAAAACTGAGGTGAAAAATGTTTCATCAGAGGAAATAAGGACTTCAGAGGAAATGAGGAGGTTACATAGGAAAGGCAAGGTAGCAAGGGGCCTGGCTTCCTACACAAAGACAAGGATGGCAGTAATGTAACTTATTTTCTTTTTTAAAACTTCTTTTGAGAGAGAGAACTGTGATTTTGCAGTGGAGATGTTTTGCCTGGCATTTGACTTGTCTTCTGAAACAGCTTGTTCTCTTTTGGTTTGGGATGGGACCCTGGGATATGGTAGGAACAACCCTAGCCAGCACAGACCCAGGGAGTACAGCACGAGGCCTCTGAGCTCATGTGAAAGATAGCACTGCTGGACGTACCTGGTAGTCTAAAGTAGCGGAGTCTGTCGTCATGAAGTCTGGGCAGCTTGACCTCAGAAGGCACTAAAAAAATTTACAAAGCCCATGCTCAGAGTGAGTGTTTCAAAGATTTGTCCTAATTTTTAGAATTTTGGTGTTTGTTGTAAGGCATTTATTTTTCTTTAACCTGCTCACATAGTATATCTCAGAGCTACTTTTGGTGTGTTGGGAAAGTGCCAAATTCTACCCTGTGTAACTTGGGCCTGATCACTGTCACTAAACCAAAAGGGTAGCCATGGGAGCAGCATTTTAATCCTCACTGTTTTTTAAAACCCTCTGCTGAGAAAGAAAATTAAGCCAGGTTATCTTGCAATAGATGGAAAGCTGAAATAAGACTTTGAGATGGTTTTGTATTGCTTGTCTTAACCAAAATAAATAAGTATGCGTGAGAAAATGGTATGTATTGTAAATACAGTTGTATATGAAGAATAGGGTTAATTTTCCTGTACTTTAACAGTGTGGATTTGTGTGTTCCTTACTAGGCATGAATAACCGTGAAGTTTTGGAGCAAGTAGAACGTGGTTATAGGATGCCATGTCCTCAGGACTGTCCCATCTCCTTGCACGAGCTTATGATCCACTGCTGGAAAAAAGACCCAGAGGAGCGTCCAACTTTCGAATATTTGCAGGGTTTCCTTGAAGACTACTTCACCGCAACAGAACCCCAGTACCAGCCCGGCGACAACCTGTAAACCCCTGGTCTCCACACACTGTCATGAATTACCAGGTGTTTTCAGCCCTGCCCACCTGCTCTTTAGCTTCCAACTCAGTGACCGGCTTCTCCAGAGTGCAGCATCTTCCAGCACCGCAGCGCACATGCGGGGGGGCCCCACAGCTGCGAACTGCCTCAGCCCTTGCCTATGACCACTTGTCCTAATAATCTGAATGTCCTTGATGAAAAGGAGAAAAACACTTGTTTTTTCTTAATCAGAGACTCCTAAACTGCATTGTATTGATGTTATGTAAACTGCAAAAACTCTGTTCATTGTAAATAGTAACTCAGTGCCAATAACTGATCCTAGTGCTTTCCTTTTTTTAAAACGCAAAACCTATGTGATTTTAACTAGTCTTCTCCTGATTCAACTAAAAGTATTATTTTCCAGAAGTGGCCTCTTTTGTCTAAAACTTTTTTTTTTCATGTTTTAACAAAAAAAAAAAATCAGGACAGATTTTTGGTTTTTTGCTTTTTTATATATAAAATATATATAATATATATACATACATATACATACAGTAAATGGGTGCTATTGCAGAGGAAACTCATTTTGAATGGAATGAATCCTGCTGCAGCAGTACCCAGAAAGTGATAATTTTACTGCAGACATGAAAACACTGGTGGGATTCTGAAAGCCAGTGATCTAATTTTTGGCTTTTGCCAAGCATGATTTTTTTAAATTGGATTGCACTTTTTGTTTATGACTATGTACCTGTAGATGGTTGTAACTTTGCTCTTTCAGGAATCATGTGCTGTATTTACAGTAATGTTTCCAATGTTTGACAAGTGTGTGATGATTTGTTCTTGAAATTAAAATGAACATATTTAAAGCAAGAAAACTACACCATCACCGTTTGAACTGGAAAATTGAAACCACAAGGACTTCTTGTATCAAAACATATATACTGAAATGTTTCAAAAAGATTTATTAAGCAGTGTAACCACATTCAAATGGTCTTACAATCATAGCATTTTAGCCATGTCACCCTGCTAAACTGTTGGTCCTGCAACTAAGATTTTTCTGTTTTATGTGTAACATTTTCCATTGTAAAATAAGTGTGTTGAATGTCCTGTACTGCTAATGAAATTACTTTCTCTATGTCTGCAAGTTCTCCAGTGGAATTACTATGCACTTCTTTACATTTCATGGGGGATGCACAGAACGAAGTATTACCTTTTCAGTTGTCTGTACCAGCCTTGAATTACTTACGTTTAACCAAAAAAAAAATTCCTTTCTACTTCTATTGAGTTTTTAATACTGAGTTGCAAATTTTAAAGTCTTAATTACATTTTGTTATGGTTTATTTGCAAGTTTACATTTTAAAACTGTTTAACTTTCTTAATTTAGTAATTAAAAAAAGAGCATTTTACATTTGGATAGTTGTTTTTTTGTTTAAATTGTGGAGCTAACGGTGGAGAGGAGATAAAACTTTACCAGCAGGGGTATCAAGCCATTTTAGGCACCATATTTAATAAGAGTATACAGACCAGTTACCTGTGGGGCATCCTTTTCCAAATTATGAAGCCATTATGTTTTTAAACAGCTGGAGTTCAACTTTAGGGATGATTGATAGGTGAAAGCATAGATCATCTATCTCCCTTTTCTCTGTTCTAAAGAGCAATTTATTCTTTAAGAGCTGCCTTGCTTTTAATGTGAATACTTTTGCATTTGCAAGTGTTACAGGAAAATAGTTTCTATGCCTTTTATTGTTGTTATTGCTTTAAAGTGTTGCAGCCAAGTAAGACCTCCTGACACTTAAAACTTTTAACACTTCGGTGATGGATTCATATTCTGAATATTCACACATTTTCTAAAGAGGACCTCTTTCAGTTTCTGAAATCTAACACACTAACAAATGGAGATTCAGAGAACGAGTTGTCATCGTTTTAATATTTTCTATACAAAACATTGACTGAAAACCCTCTTTCAAAGAAGGATCCCACAAACTTAGCCTTTCTTGAAGTGTGAATTTATGTGGCAAAGTTGCTTGTTACCAGATTTCCATGATAAATTGGTTAACATTTTACATGCAGAGACTATATGTAATGTTATGTACATGATATGTATAATGTTACTGTTCCTAACGCTGTGAAATACTTAAAGGCCAGACCTCTTTTGGACTTTTTTTAATCGGCCTTCTTTTAATACGTACAAACTAACTGAGTTGTGGTCCTCTTTTCCCCACAGCTACCCCCTTGCCTTAAAAGATAATCCACTGAACTGAGCACTTCAGAGGAACACACCTGGCTATTGAAGTCAAAACGTAATGTACTCAAACAAGCGCTTGGTAGCAAAGCATGATAACTCTGCCAAGTTCCTAAGCAGTGTTTTGTGTGCGACTAATTTAAGTACCATTTCCATCCATAATAGAGGATGAGGCTAAAACATTGGTTTTGCATATGTTTCTCACTGGAAGTGAGACTCAAATGGGGAGTTGCTGGGGTTTTACAGCGGTTATTTCTTATTCTTGGGTTTGTTGTTTCTTGTATCACATTCAGTCTATGAGTACCATGTTGGACTCTGCTGCCTCTCTGCCTGCAGCTCTTTTGTATGCAGACTTCTGCCATTGCTGAGTGGCAAATCCAGACCATTTCTCATCGGTAGCAATTCTGCTTCTTTTTCTTAATGTTGAGAGTTCTGTTGTTTGGGTTTTTTAATCTCTCAAATAAAAACATTAGCAAAAATTTAAATAAGGTTGTTAGCATCTTTGCTATGAATTAATAGAAAGCTATTCATAGGCACTGTGTACAAACTACACATAGCTGTGCGGTGACTGTAGAAGTAGAACTATCAGATTAAAAATCTCCTGTTCCCTCCAATAGTTCTTAAATCTAAGGCTAAACAAATCACATCCAGATATCTAAAGACAATTGGCCGAGGTGCTCCCCACACCAACGCATCTCACTCCTAACCAGTCTTCGGTGTGATAGTGAAGTTTCTGCCAACATCTAGAAGCAATCAGTGAGAAGGCCCAGATAACTATAGGCTGATTAATCCACCACCAGCCCCAGGAAAAATGACAGGCAGAAATGCAACACTGCCATGAAAGGGGTGGTTAATACAATTAGTGCCTATTAATATCATTTTATGGGAAGGAAATGATGTGCGACTTGGTTGATATTCCAAGAGATCCAAAGTTTGATATAGGCACTAACATTATATTGCTCGGCTTAGGCAAAAGGTATTCATCTGACACTTAGTTCTATCTATCTGACGCTTTTTTTTTTTTAATTGCCACTGTAGAAAAGCAATGTAAATACGAAATGGAAAACTGATTAACTCTTGAAATTACAAAAGTAATTGGAAGTAGAACATGTATCTCCAATGCAAGTGTTCCTCATGAAGTCTCCCGAGTGGAAGGGACTAACTGCAGACCAAGAAGACAGATCTGCTAAATGTGTTTGACCTTACCACATAGCTTCAAGGTGAGTGAAAAGCTGCTCGAATTCATTTCAGTATGCACCATCCTTTTCTCAAATACTGCAGTAAGGAATTCAGTGCACTAATGAATGCTACCATATTGTACCATAAAGGTTTAAGAGCCTTACATGAGGCAGAACCGAAGTATACAAGAGCTATTAGGATATGTATAGTAGCTCCTCTTCCAATGTGTGACTATATTCATTCATCAAAGGCTTTTCCTGTCTAATGGGAAATTACCAGCAGCAGTGCAGACAAAAGGATATTTATTTTCTCAAGTAGTGTCACTTTGAGGGTCTGTCTATCTTTCAAGAATAATTGAAGGCTGTTTGTAGCTCAGAAATCTCATTGTATTCTGCAGTCTCACTAAGCAGTCATAATAATTTCCTGTGACTCGCACGCAGGCAAATTCATCGCTGAAGGAGTTTCTGTTAATTGGGGCAGTATTCCCTACCATCTGAACAGAGGAAGGGCACAATTTGATTTAGGCTTTTCCTATATAGACTAAAACAGAATCCATGTTCTTTCAGCACAAAAAAAAAAAAAAAAAGTCCTTTGCCAGGGTCCCGCTTGCATAGGATGTTAGCCTCTCCCTCCCAGGGCTTCTGAATTTATCAGGAGAATCTCTGACAGCTAAAAAGAAGTTACTGAGCTTCCCTTTGAATGTTAGAGGGGAAATCCTAGCTTACCTTAAATCTGTGAGAATTCTTCTGTTGACTTTTAATACAACCAGCATACTTACGTATGTATATCAAAACCCAATTCAGGGTCTGCATATATATCAGACATGAAAACATCTGAATATACATAAACATCCATCCATCTCCTTCTGTTGCTTCCCTGTAGCTTGAATGCTTAACAAAAATGCACTCGTAGGACCAGGACATGAGTGGATTAGGAGAACAGGATGGTGCCAACAACCCACGAGATTTTTTCTTTCTTTCTTTTTTCAAGGGCTCCCACTACTTGATCGGTCACAACCTTTATTCCCAGGCCGGAAGCGGGGCGGTACAGCCAGCACTGTCGCCGCAGCGCTGTGATGGTGCCGGTCTCTGGCTAATGCAAAGAGCAGCCTACAGCTGACTTCAAAGTGGGGGAGGAAAAAAAGGTTCCTCCAAAGGGAAGGGCTGCAGTCGGGGGGCCCGCGGCGTGAGCATGCCGGAGGAGCAGAAAGGGGAGAAGACTTCCCTCCCAGGAAAAACAGGTCATTAACTTGTCAGCTGTACATCATGTCATGCACAGGGAGATCTAAAGGTTGCAGCACCAGCTGTGCTTGCAGCATCTGTGTTTCGCTGTGGCCGGGGATTTATGTGATCAGATTATGACAGACTGGCGAGCCTGCATTGCAGTTTCTGCTACCAAATGTAAATATCTTCTCTGTTACAGGGGAGAAGGGAAGGGGGAGGGTAAACAGAATATATTTAAGTTGGTCAAGAAATTGCAAGAGCGGCGTGTCCGTGACTGAAGGGAAAGTGTTACGTCTGACTGAGTAAGCCAGATGGGAGTTTGATTGTTCTGCTCATTGTTGGGAATAATTCAGCATTAAGCTCTGTGAATAGCAAAAAGGGCAAAGAGCAAAGAAATGAGATTATCCTCCTTCCTCCACAGCAGAGGCATAGCTTGCTGAGGGCTCTGATTTGCTTTTTTATGCATCAGCCTTTGCTACTGAGCCCCGCACCTGGAGTCTCGTGAAGTTTGCTCAGATACCTACTGTCACAGCCACGTACAAAATCCCCGAGGCCTGTAACAGATGCATGGGCCTGTAATGGTGCATTTTCATTGGGGGGGGAAGGGAGAAGAAAAGGCTGCAGGAAAGCTTTCTCAACTGTTACAGCCTTATCCGCAGACCTGGAGCTGAGCTACATGCCAAAAGCCTGCCCAAATGCCTTGGCTTCACCTGCACTTTATTTGCTTCTGTGATTAAGGCAGCTGAATTTTCCCAGCCAGAATCTGCTACTTGCACAGGAAGGGTCCTGGGGTGTTCAAAACCTGCTGCAATGGTCCTAGCAAAAGGGTCCTGGGCCGTTGCCGGAGGGCTGGTACACTCTCCGGCCAGCCACCCTCTGCAGCCTGGGCCTTCCTGCCAGCTAGGTCTGGGGCCGGCAGAGACTTGAAGTGAGCTGCGTTTGTGCAAGCCTCAGACCCCAGCCTGGGTGACTACCGAGCAGCAGATGATAAACTCCTGGTCTTCTAGAAACAGCAACGGCAAAGAGCCACAACAGGAACTGATTTACGTCTTCAAGGAAGAGGACTAGGTACTTTTGATCAGAGGAGAACTGAAGTTTTTCCCGCAAATTCCCATGCCTCCCCAACACAGTGAGGCCTCCAGCCGAGCTTTGTGTATGACCTCATCACATACGTCCCGCGTCTACAGCACATACCACATACTGAACATTTGCATATGTTACGCGTCTTTTGTTCCACATGGGTGGCCTCCCCTTCCCCTTCCCCCTACCTCTCGCCCCATCACTCACCCACGCTGCTCCACTTGCGTTATTTCAGACGTGTCATTGCTGCAGAAATACATACCGCTACCCTGGCCTTGCTGAGAGTGGCGGCTCTGCTCATTGTCAAACGTCGAGTGGGTAATGATCAATGGATGACTAATTGGAAGCGAGGGGGAATAAAATAGGTATTACTCTCTAGCTTCTGCTCTTAATTAAGAGGATACATAAGGCTGTG